TAATAAAACTTAAAAGATAAATTGCAAATAAAATTTTGACTTTGTACATAACTAACTTAAAATTTTGATTACAAATATCAAAGCACTAATTATTAAAAAAAAAATTATACAGTCGACTAACTAAATTTAATAGAAATACTGTTTATGATAAATAAAATTAAAGTGAAATAAAATAACAGGTGAAATGCATTTAAAAAAAAAAAAGAACTTTTCTAAATATTTGTGCTACAAATAATTTATGATTCGTTATATAGTTAACAAATATAAAGTGGGTAGGAGTACTATAAAAATTTCCAAATCAACACAAAATGCTCGAATGCTAACACTTAAAAGGATGTTTCTAAAATATATTAAAAATTTTTTTTGTGAATTTTTAAATGTAATAGTTTTTTCTTATATCATGCTTTGTTTCACAATAAATTCAAATATAATCCCTCTTTTTTACAATTAAATACAATTGCTTTAAGTGGATTGAAGTTTTGCATGACAAAAATAATAAAACAACTTTCAATTCATTTGTTCTCCGAAATGAGTGATTTGTGTACTTTTTCCAAAGATTCATACACAACTGAAATAATAACAAAAATAAATTGCTTGTTATTTTTATAAACTAAGTTGTTCTAATAAAATTGATCTTACTTGTTTCTTCATTCAGCATTTTTAAAGCCCCACAAAAATAAATAAAACAGATTAAAAAAATCTACAGCTTGCTGCCATACTACAAGTGTTTCCAATACCAGAAATAAAACAAGAGGGCTTCATCAATCAGTCAATCACATTTTTATACATTCCACAGCATACGAAGATTCTGTTTTAAAACTAAAACAATATGTGATTATATGTATTATGTAATTTCCTTTACTAAAAATTACACTGAAATTTTAGAACGCCAATATATTTAATACTCAAAAGTTGCTATTTTAAAAAATACTTTGATAAATTATTTAAAACATGCCAAAAATGAAATGACTTTTAAATTAAGTGGATTTTAAATCAATAAATTTTAAATTAAATTATTATTTCAGAGTTAGAGTAAACTTTACTAAAAAACTAGGAAAATTTTCAATTAATTTATCATAAAAGTAATTCTATAACACAGAGAACATCAATAAAAAATGATAAAAGTGATTGATACCTAATATAAATGGCGCATTCCAATTTTTATCAAGTTAACATTTATTGATTAAGATTATTTAAGAATATTGGAACTATGTAATTTTCTTAACATACTTGGGAGAAAAAGAATTTGACTTTTTCATTAATTACCACATAGTTTTTTTTATTAATTTACAAGATACAAAAACCTTTAATTATAAATCAGCCCAAATTTAAACACCCAGCAGCAACATGATTGATATATTTTCATATAATGGGTGAGTTCTGCAATACAGAGCTTTTGAAGTTTACTCCAAATTCCTTCAACTTTTTAAAAGTGAAAAATCATTCGACGGGCGACTTACGAACTATCCAGTTTGTAGTTTATGACATTATTCTTTATTTAATAATTCTTTTGTCCATATTTTAAATAATTCTACCAAAAAAAAACCCTAAGAAAAGTTAAAATATTACAAAATAATGAAATATAAGTCAATATTTTTAAAAATTTAGGGAACATTCTTCCAGAATCTGGTTTGATAGTTTTGCTTAAAATGCACCAATCAATTTCTCAAAGCATATTTCATTTAAATTTTTATTTTGATGAAAACGTTACAATAAGAAATAAAGTCAGTACAGCATTGGAAAATATTTTGTATTAAAATAAAAAGTTTATTTTCTAAACATTTATTTTAACTGAAGACAATCTATAACAAATAGAGAAGGATGGAATATCGCCACTCTTCTTTTAAGATTAAACTTCTTGGCGTGTTTTCGAACAGCAGTGTCAAATCTTGGGCTGAGCTCCAAATGAGAGAACTTACCCCAAAAATGCACCCGAATCATACATTAACATAACATGGTGTGCATTTGAACTTAACCCTTTCGCGCCCAACGGGACACATACGTCCCAAGGAAATTTCAAAATAATCTTTTGGGACAGAAGCATTTCTCTGTCTAATGGGAGACTTTCCCACCAGTCCTGCCAATATCTTTGAAGGTATTTTCATTCACAGAACATAGATGGCACTACCGTACATAATTCTGCCCTACTTATAGTTTATGCTATCAAAATTGTTCTGCTGTAAAAAAAAAAACTCGTCGCGATAGGGTTAAAATTAAGTTGCGCACACTAATGAGTACAAGAACTAATTTGTTTTCAGTTATGATTTCAGATAACTAATAGATATTATTGGATTTACATTTAAACTAAAATAGACTTAAAATTTCTTATGGTGTTCGAGGACGATAAAAGTTTCCAAAAAATCACTTTATGATTTATGGAATTGGTTTTGACTATACTCAGTTGTAAGTTAAGAAAAAAACCATTATCACTATGGAGAGAGCCTGTTTGCATCTAAGTGCACACCACATGGATGTTAAGCTCTGCATAAACATGAACTTATGTCAATGCAAGATGCATGAGCTTATATCAACAGCGTCAACTCTTTTGCACAGCTTTGTTTTTTAAATAATGAGGAAAACAAAACTTATTGAATAAACACTATTTTTTTTCTACACGATAACAAACTAGTAAGTTATTAACAATAATAATCAATTAACAAGCAAAAAGAATTACTAAAAGTGATATCTAAAACTCATAACAAATATAAGTCCTTCTCTTCCCATTTAAAGAAGCCGATGGAAGAATAATAATTATTTATTGCAGATGAATTTTCTTCTACAGCGAAATAAAAGTAAAAAATTATTTATCTCGCATTTGATTTTTTAGGGCATGTCAGTGTAAAATGCACCAATTTTAACGATCCAACCAAATCTAATACTCTTACAACATCATTTTTTTTTCCCTCCAAGGACAAATGTTCTCCCTATTTATTGAAATATGTCACCAAGCCTAAGATTCCAGTAAGACAACAAAACTATAACCTTTTCTTAATAATTCTATGTATATCATAAGATTTATCTCAAATTAAATCTTTGTCTAAAGAGTTTAACTTTTAAAAACGTTCATAATGTTTAGTAAGCATTATGTATAATTTGATAACAAAAATAAAACGGAACTATATGCAGTCAAGGATAATTACTTAAATCCCATAGAGCAATGGTTTTTTCTTAACTAGCAACGGAGTATAAAAGGAAAGTTAGAATCTCATATTACATGGAAAATCCTAATTAGATTTCTAGCATTAAGTAAGATTTCAAACCAAGTAAATTACACACAATAAGAATTTTTATTTTAAAATTTAAAACCTTATTTGAAATGACATATAAAATTTTTAAAATATCAATTAATCATAACTGAGCCAATTATGAAACTTATTAAAATCAACTTAGTTGTTGAACAGTTAAAAAATTTTTTCAGTATATTAACCACCAATTTTTTAAGAACACAGACATACATAAACCCCGCTGTTCTAAATCAAATCTTACTACATTAAAGGGACATGACATTTCAGATTGTAAAAAAATAGCAATACTTCCTAATTTCTAAGTTTTTTTTTAAAAAAAAGAAACAAAAAAAGAAAAAATTAAAAATGTATTTTGGGTACACATTTTAGTTAAAAACTAATACCTTATTACTAATAGAAACTTCAAGGTTTTGAGTTTTTGTGTAAAAACTTTAAATTAATTATAATATTTAAAATTTTTCACTTATCAGTTCAGTCTCCCAATAAAATAGACAACTCTAGGCTAATGAATGCAATTCTTCCTCTTCAAAATAGACTTTTCTAGAATAAAATGTCAAAAGAATTTGAAAGAAAAGAAAATGTCAAAGAAAAAGAGAAAACCATAATATATATATTTCTAAATAGTAGTAAAAAAAAAAGTTTATTTTTGTTAGAAGCAGAATGCAATTTCTGGTTATTATATAGGTGGTTCACAAAGGGTGGAGCTTTTTAACTGTATAAATATTAACCATAAATTTAGGCCTTTTATGTTTAAGTTATGTTCTTATAGAAGGAAAAAAGATTAAGTTTCAGAATAGCCTTTTTTATTCATTTTTTTTTTTTAAATAATTTCGTTTTTGCTCTTATTTAGTGGTTTTAGAAATTGTTTAAAGAGTTGAAAAAAATTAATTAGAGTAGATGCAAACAACAAAATTTCACAACTCTTGTTAGTTTAGGAAGAAAAAAGAAATATTCTATACAAATAGCTCCAGAAACTCTCAAAAACCGTAATTTTTATTATTAAATCGCAAGACGAATCTAGACTTGGAAATCATTATAATTATAAATAAATTGTAATAGTTGAAGATCAGGCAAAATCTAAAGATTAAATAAATTAAAAATATTTTTTAGAGATTTATAGTGCAGTGGTTTCCAAATGGTGTTCTGCAGAACACCACCCAGGAAGGGACACAGGAGTTAGGACTCTTTTTAAAAAAAATACAGTTATGACTTTTGAGACCTGTAATTATTTTGGTATCGAATTTATAATATTTAATTAATATTTTTGTTATTTTTATGAAATTAAATATTCTTAATGCTTGTAAAGAAAGAAAATATAAAACTGTTTTTTATTATAACAATATAATGAATGAATTATAAAAAGGATATGTATTTATGAAAAATTACCTGAGTATTTTGCATTTAATAAAAATAATCAAATTCCTGATAACCAATCTTGACGTTCATTTTCGTTTTTATTTTAACGAAAGTCATACCAAGGCTAATTCAGTTTTAGTTTATCCACATAGTAAAGTCAAATTAAGAACTATAGTAGATGCTGCTCTAGACCTGTGAATTAAAGTCTAGACATTAACAAAACCCAATTTTAAAACTCATCTAAAAATGATATATGATGAAAACATTTCATTCTCCATCAATTCACTATTTTGTAACCAAAATAATAAATAAAAATTTAAATCATTACATATTTTCAAAAGATTTAATATTCTTTTGTTAATTATTATGTCACAACCGCTAATGAAATTTATTCATAAAGTCTCTGGGTTCCATCAAAAGAAGGTTGATCATGAATGGTTTCGCAGCCTAAAACAATTGGGAGCCGCTGCTATAGTGGATCAGAGAATAAATTAAAAAATTATAAAGAGTGATGTTTGAGTAACAACGTACATAACACAGATCTGAGCACTATTTAATGTCAAAAATGCACTAATATAAATGTGAGATTCATAATCCACATAAATTGCAGTAAAGCATATCACGAAAAGTATGGCTCACATGTGTCTTTACACCTTTGTTTATCACCTTAATTAAATTTGCAATATAATAGACTTTGATCACTGATTAACACAATTTGCTATCAGTTGCATAATGATATAGCATTGGAGAAAAGTAATCAAATGCACTGTTACTGCACATCGAAATGTCAATGCATCACAATATAACACAGTTGAAAGCCACAGTCAGGATTGTAGCGAATAAAATTTGCATACATGAAGGATAATCAGAACTTCGAACATTCGATTTTTTGTAATCTTTAAGCAATGGTCCAAATTAAATTCATTCAGATTAACAAAGCCCTACAGTATTTATATTGGTTAACCTCTTAAATTCAAAACTTGGTTCAGAATAAGCTCCGATTGTTATTTTTTTTAAAATAAGAAAAAAAATTAGTAGAGAAACATATATTGCAAAAGATTTTGTCTCAATAGTTTAATCCAGTGGCACATCTGCATGTAGAAAGTTGCACTTTTCTTTATCTTCCCAAATGACAGTGCAGGTAATAAAACCACACTCCATTTTTTGCCTACAAATGGTGCTTTACGTAGAAAGTGCCCTCAGATTTTCTTTTTTTTGCACCAAAACACCCAACTATCTAGAATTTGATAGGGGACTAGATGGGGGGGATGCTCTTTCATAGCAATGTTTTTAATTGGAGAAGAGGAGAATTAGCCTGAACCATAGTTGTATAAAGAAAAAAGAGCTTGAACAATTGGAAGCAGTAAAAATGAAAATATCAAAGTCACCAGTCAGCTAAAGATTTAAAAATAAATTCAATTAAGTATAATTTTAATTTTTTTAAAAGTAACTATAAAAGATTTATAAATTAGTGAAACACTTTTTTTTAACTTGTTACCACAAAATCTAAACAATATACCACTAAAATTTTATCAACCAGTTACCACTAAAATTTTATCAACCAGAAATTTTCTGTGAAAAATTATTGATAAGCTTCCACTAAAATAAAGACTTCCAACTTTAAATTTTTGTTGTTCCTTTACATTACTGATTGCACTTCAAATTATTAGCAAAATGTACATTAATGTTGTAGAATGTTTTCTTTCTTTAAAAAAAAAAAAAAAAACACTTATACATGAATCTAAAAAACCAATTTAAAGGTGTACATGCAAAACATATTTTGAAGTTGTTGTTTTTTTTCCCACAAGAAAATTAACACTTCACATAAGTAGAAAATATTAATATGTAATATAACCTAAAAAGATACCCAAAATGAAATGTAAACAATGGTATTTATACATTCATATACAGCATGTGAAGTCAATGTTGATGAATACAGATGCACTTTTCAGAAATACATAAATGAAATGAGTTTTGAGAATGTTCAATAAATAGCACAATTCATTTACTTTTAATTAAAAAGTTTCAAATTTTATAGTCTTTCACATAAAAATTACAAGAATTGCAATTTTTGTTTACACATCTAGTGTTTATATGGAAAGAGTTCTCATTGAATTTTCTCCAAAATAATTTCTTCAAAATCATATAACACTGTTAAAACAAAAATTCAATCCATGCTTTATCTAAGCCAAGACCTACACGAGACACAAAATACACAAACATGGTCATTTTGCTACACAACGTTAGTAGCAAATCTGTAGATTTAGTAGTGTACAGTCATAAAAAGCATAACATGATTTGCACATGTAATGGAGATGTTGAATGCTAGTTTACATGTATGACTCATTCTACAAGTCACTGATGACATGTAATACTGAATTCATACAATGGAATGATGTGCTTTTTCTATCTACATAACTACGGCAAGTTGAACCCTATTTCTCATACATTTTTATTGGCACCTATTAAGATGATCAGGAGATCGCTTCTGAAAAAGAGTGTGAAAACATTAATAACCATCATTCTCAAGAAGATAATTTACATTTAAAACTGCTCGAATAACTTCAAAATAATACAATACATACTAAACTTTAAAATGTTCAGCCTGTCAAAAAAAAAAAAAAAAAACTGAAAAAAAAATTCTACATACTTTTCTAACAGACTTTTAGTGAAACAAGCTAACAATAGTAAAAAAATGTAGTAAAACATGCCTATCGTGGAGCCTACCTACTTTTCTCATTGACTGAAACTATCGTTAAAAATTTAAAAATAAACAACTTTTTTTCACAACCAACATATTTCTTTTATGGCACTATTACTGACAGTGGGTCTTAACTCCAAATTTGTATTTGAAGAAAATGAACATGTAGACATACAAAAATCAGAAATATAAAGACAACTATGAACTCTGAAATCTTCATATTAAAAATATGTATGTTGCATTACTCAATATTAGGTGAAAAGTTAAGAATTTTTTATACCTGGTGTTTAGGGCATAGCAATGAGAAGTTTTCAATATCCATCTGACAACCTATATTTGAATAAAATGCAACAGTTAATGTCTGATTAAAAAGAAAATGTCTAAAAATAAAACTTATAGCAGGGGTTCTCCAACTTATGCAATTTGCAGCATTCCCCAGTAATATAATATTCGATTGCCGCAATATATTTATATAATGTTTGTTTCGTACATAACGAAAAACATGGATGATGAGAATGCAAATAGATTGAATTAAATGAAGAATTTGTTAATTTGCTTAGTGCATTTGACTGAACTTGTGGCTCCTTAAAAACTTTTCAAATTGTAGAATTAACATATTTTAGCTACTTGGGACATTTAAAAAAAAAAATTTACTTTCAGGTGATATTTATTCTTATAACAGCAATAGCTAAAAACCAGCTTTACACAGATATGAGGTATGAAGTAGCAAAGCAAATGAAAAAAAGGATCAAAAGGATCTCCAATGTAATTAAACTAAAATATGCCTTACATATTCAAAAGAGACAATTTTATATCAAATCCTACTTACTGAATGCATAAGATGGTTGTGGGCACACTTTTACAGTTACTTAGAGTTTAATTTAATTAGACTGCAAGATTTGACTGCCAAAGATAAATTTGAAATGTATTGACATTTAGCTTTGACATTTGAAGTAGCATTAAAATGTTTTCTTTAACAAAATGTCAATGCATTAAGTAATTTTGCAAATCAGCGTGCTTGTGAAGTTTAACTTTGAAATCCTTTTTTGCCCCAAGTAAAGACATGCCAGTTTATAAACTCAAATGTACTCAAAATTAATGTGACTTTAAAACAAGCACTTCTTTTTATTATCCCTATAAGAAAGGTTTTTTCCCCTTTTTGAAGGAATCAAATCAGGGTATCTGCTACATTTCAGATTTTCAAATTCATAATTTTCCATGACTAATTCCAAGAATTTTTCATGACTTAACAAAGTTACTATTTTCTCCACAAAAACACAACAATAAATTTAAAAAAGCATTATAACAACACTAATTGAAATGATAGGAATAACCAAAACTGATATACTATGCATCTTCATATTTATAGAATTTAAATTTAAAAAACAGAGTAAAGAAACAATGAAATAGCTGAAAAAATACGAAAGCAAATAAACATTTCTTCTTTTTTTCTGCAGAATTTTATTCTAAAGATACTTTTCTTGTTCATCGGAAAGGAAAGAAATACTCCTGATTTTTCTGTTTTCATTTCGGAATTTTAAAAAAATGACTGGTTTGCTTTAGCTAGAATTTTAAATTAATAAAATAATAAAAATTCTTAAATCACAGAAGTTTAAAAGATAATTTGCTCTAGAAGTGATGTTTATTCTTTCATTTTTTGAAAGAATGCCATAATTTTTAAAGAACATGATAAAAACATTTTATATTCTAATAAAATATGACTGTGAGTAATGACTTTGTTATGAATTCAGATATTCGGAACAAGATGAAAGGTTGGGGGATTCCATTTTAAAAATTAAATTTTTCGACAATCTAAATCCATGACTTTCCATGATTTTTTTTAAAAAATAGTTAAAATCATGACAAATTTTGTTCAATACCGAAATTTATGGCTTTCCAGGTGCTTGGATACCTGTCAAATTTATGATGTAAACAGGGAGACATGAATATTTTTTAAGAAATTGAGAAATGGCATAGCTATTCCATACTAAATAAGTGTTAAAATAAGAAAACATATTTTGAACAAATATAAAATTTAATAATATTAATGATTAAGATTATGGTGTTTACCCATTTCTTTGGCACAACTATAGTGAAATAGTTCTTTACATCCTTTCCCCCAGCAACCCAGAGTTGCTCCATTTAGAGAACATTTACAGCATGTCTGAAAACAAATTAAAAGTGGTTTATAATACAGCAAACACAATTAAATAAAATTATTATCACACTCTCAAAGGTCTTTTCTGTTATTTATTTTTTAACATTACAGTTATTCATATTAGAAGGTAAGTTAATTTTTAAGTTCTAGTTTTTTTTTCTTAATTAAAGGACGAAACATATTTAGTTTCCTTTAAAAAATTAAGTCAGAATTGTTATTTTTAAAATAATATAAATGGCTTTAGCTCTAAATATTAAAATTACAAAATTTAAATTAAAACTTTCTATATTGTTAGCTTAAAAGTAAGTTTCAAATTTGGCACAATTTAAAAACTCTTATAACAATATAATAGCAAAATTTTAATAATAGCACAATTTCTGGTATGATATTGCTCGTGTTTAAAACATAAGTGACAAAAACTTATTTAAAACTCAAATTGTGTTCATTTTTTCATTATGTACAGTCCGCAAAAAAAAAGAAGATATCATCCTGAATAACTTTTGTTCTAATGATCGGATTTTCACGAACTAAGTGTCAATCTTAATGGTTCCTGGGGGTGACCTCAAATATGCTAATTAATTAGTGCTAACTATTAATTAAGTTACGAAATCAGACACAAAAACGTACTTTCTCTGAATAAACATATATTTGTTTTTACATATTTGGATTCTTAACCTTCAAAATATAGGGGGTACCCGCAATCTTGGAAATATGGTCCCCATAGTTTGGTCAGGAGAGCGATCCAAAGTTCGTACCCCTTAATGTTAATTTCACTTTTTNATGGTCTTTTCTGTTATTTATTTTTTAACATTACAGTTATTCATATTAGAAGGTAAGTTAATTTTTAAGTTCTAGTTTTTTTTTCTTAATTAAAGGACGAAACATATTTAGTTTCCTTTAAAAAATTAAGTCAGAATTGTTATTTTTAAAATATTATAAATGGCTTTAGCTCTAAATATTAAAATTACAAAATTTAAATTAAAACTTTCTATATTGTTAGCTTAAAAGTAAGTTTCAAATTTGGCACAATTTAAAAACTCTTAATAACAATATAATAGCAAAATTTTAATAATAGCACAATTTCTGGTATGATATTGCTTGTGTTTAAAACATAAGTGACAAAAACTTATTTAAAACTCAAATTGTGTTCATTTTTTCATTGTGTACATGAATAACTATATTCATTATGTACAAAAACATTTAAAAATAAATTTATAATGCATGGTGAAAGTTTTCAAGTAGAGGCACAGTAAGATTATTTGTAACCCAGGGTTGAGATTCTAACGAAGTCTATTAAATGCCTATCTCACATCATACCATCAACTATTTCAAAGTTTGCAGAAAGGGAGGGTAAGTCTATTAAGCAGAAAGTTAGGGTGAGGGTAAGTCTATTAAGCAGAAAGTTAGGGTAAGTCCATTCAGCAGAAAAGGAAGGTAAGCCTCTTCTGCACAACAAGCAAAGATGAAGCTTCTTCGAACAATGTTATCTTCGAATGCTATATAAGATTTTGCAATAAAAAAAAGCACCTCAGATTTACTAATAATTTAAAGTTATTTTATTATTTAAAGGTGAGTATCCAGCCATAATAAATAGGGTGTATATAGAATTTCAGGTTCAGCACTAAAGATCCATACCAAAATGTTGATATTACACAACAATAAAAAAAAAAATTCATAAGTTGAGATACACAGGTATTCAAGATAAACATATATTAGGACAGAAACATGCATCATAATAATAAAAACTGCAAACAATAAAATAATGTCATTAAAAGCAATTAAAAAAAAGCTTAGAATTTTTACATTTTCATATGCTTCAGTTACAGCTTCTTCTAAACCTTGGATTTCTTCCCCAAATAAGGAAATGCTCTGACACCAAATAGCACAATCTTCGTGAATCCAGGTTTCTTTCAAATGTGCATCTGGATCTGAAGTGTCCTTTTCCAAATTCCTACTGACTGGGGTTGTTTCTGCAGCAGAATGACCAGCAGCCTGAAATTATAAATCATTATTCATTTTAAGATATAAACCATGATAATAAATATAAACACAGGGTTGATTGTGAGCCCAAGTCAAAATTCCGGAAAATTTCTTGAGTTAAAAAAAAGAAGTTTAAATTGAAAAAAATTTAAACAAGGTTTTTTTTCCTTTTTCTTAATATTTCTTAGTTTATTTAAAATATATCTAAAATTTTACACATACCTATACCATTTACACATACCTATAATGACCTGGAGAAGTAATTAAAATTTACAAATATGTCTTTCTTTCTTGAGTTTATGATTATAAGAACTATTTACTGATAAAAAATGAATATTAATCATGAATATAAGCTTATAAAGTATCTCTCTGGCTCTCTCTTACAAACAAATAAAATAAACTGTGTTTTTGAGTACCACCTTTGAAAGTTTGATTTCCAAAAACTTCTGTGATCAATGATTTTTCGAAACGTCTGGACCTTCGATCTCCGGAAACTTCCGGATCACTGTTAGCGAAAGTTCCAGAAATCCGGATTTTTTACGGAGCACAATCAGCCCTGATTAACATCAGAGCTGGACAAAAAAACAAGGGATAAATATGGAAGCATATTATAAGGATTTTCGAGGCATTCCTGCAATTTTGGTTTCACAGCACAGGGGTGAAAATTTTCTTGCAAATCACTTCCGTGCTAGGGAGAAGACAATAAGTTCAGCATACGACGTAGATGCAAAATCTTTCAATTGACTTATGCCAGGTTATTTATAGTTTCAGCGCCTCAGTTGTTTAAATTCAAAACAAATATTACACAACCAATTTATATCTAACAGCTTAATTAGTAATCGGTACAATAAATTTTAGAAATTAGCAAAATATTTAGTAACAAAAATAAAATTTAATCATATTTTAAACCAAACGTAGGTACATAATTGCAGTAAACTATTGAAGGAGAATGAAAGAGAAAGGAAGCAGAATGGAAATTCATATAAGTGGAAACAGAAAATGTTTCCCACATTTCCTGTTCACTCTTTAACTTCTAGAATTGTTTAACAGTCTTTTACATGAAACAGAAATTTTCTTCAACAATAAAATAATTTTTTTCCATGATAAACACAAAAATCCTTGAGGACTAACAAATTTTGGTCATCACAGAGCCAAAAAAATCGACACTGAAACCCAATGTTTTAATAAAATTTAACTCATTTTTCTTAAATAATGATTACAAACTGAATATTCCTGGGTTTAAAAAAAGTTTTCTAAACATTATTTACTTCATTGTTGTATTTCTTAGCTTGTATAATTGTTTATGCATTATTTATGCATTAAAGTTGTAAACTATACTTCTAGTCACTAGCTTTAGACAAATTAAAACGAATAATTGTCTTGATGTAATTTCATGAGAGCAAAAAATCGTTTTGCTTCTTTAAATCATAACTTAGTGGCTCCTAAAATTTAAGTCTTCGCTCTTTAATTGCTATCTTCAGATTATTAAGATGCATAGTTTCAACAATCTACATCATTAATTAAAATGAAACTTCTTATTTGATAAGTCATTTATTTATATTTAGTTTAATCATCATCTGTCAAATAAAATAATGGACAGCCCATTCTAGATGTATATATGAAGAAAGAGCATTCGCCTTTTAATAATAGTAATTTTGAATGCCGTTCAGGAAATAAATTAACTATCGAGTTCTCGGTAGTAGTAGTACTTTATTTACGTCACGCAGAGTAGCATAATGGACAACGGCCTTGAAAATATTCTGGAGGATGATCCAAAGACATGCCAGCTCAACGGCCTGCAAGTTAGTTTAGTTTCCTGGCTAACAACATGTTTCCTTCAATGATTTTTTTTTTAATTGGATAACATTGATTTAATTGGATTACAATTTCTGTTTTAAAATTTCTTTCATTTGACTTTAATTTAATGTGTCTTCAAATATATTTCATGCCAAAATAATCTTGTACGTTTTTTAACTGTAGGTTTTATGAATAAGTTTGTTGTATTGTTCAAAGTTCTAACATAATTCAAAGAATTTATCATTAACATATTGTCTCATAAAACGGTAATGTACATTAATATGTTTTGCTTCAAGGGTTTTGAATTTCAAACAGAAAAATCAATAACACTGTTATCACGAAATAATTCATAACTAGGTATTTTCAATTTGAGTTTATCGGTTAGCATATTTTTTAACCATACTAACTGCTTGGCTAACTCATATAAAGAGAGATATTCAACCTCCATGGTAGAAATTCAAAACATTTTTTGTTTTAAGACTCCACACAATAGGAATATTACCAACATATACAATAATTCATCCTATTCGTGTAGCACTTTATTGACAAATCAGAGATTTTTGACAAGTTTAGCTTTTTTTCCCTTTGTATATTGCAGATATCCAAATATTTTCAGTAGAGCTTGCCAATGCTTGATGCCAGGATTTTTCTGATACTATGTTAAAATGTTGACTGCAAAAGATATTTCAGGTCTTGTTCTTCTAGCTACAAAAGACACATATCTAAGAACACTATGGTATGGAATATTTTCCATTTCAACTCTATGTCTGTGAGCAATCTTACAAATACAAACTTAATCTTTTTGCTATTGGCAATGATACTACGGTATTTTGTACCACTTGTTAATATATTTCAAGGCATGCTCTATACATTCTTCCTGGTGGATTACCAAATGACCATTAATCTTTTCAAATTCTATCTGAAAGTTTCCTTGTTTCTCCCAAAATCTTTTATCAAAAAATTTTATTCAACTCTTTTAAAATCATATCTATGTTTTCTTGACTTTTTCTTAATATCACAATATCATACATTATCATCTATGTATAACAATAGAAAAACATCTGTGAATACTCCATTGCACATATCTCATTTTTCAAGCTCTAATTCGTGTGATACGCTAGTTACTCCAGTGTACCATTAAAGTCCTGATTGACGTAATCCTTATATAGCCCTTTTCAATTTATACACTTTTGATGGATCTTTGACAAAACCTTCAGGTTGTGATATATAAATTTCTTCTACAAAGTCCGCATATAAATATGCACTTTTCACGTCAACTTGGCAATAAACCCAGTTCATTAAGCCTACAAAAATAATCTTAAGAGAAAAATTTACTACAGGACTGTACACTTCACAATAGTCAATTCCCTGTTGTTGCTTACGTCCTTGAGTGACGAGTCAGGCTTTATATTTCACATTTTATTTGACTAATTCATTTTTAGATTGTACACCCATCTACTACCAATTATTTTAGCACTTTCTCGCTTCCCTGCTAAGGACCATACTTCTCTTTTTCTTATTCATTTCAATTTCCTCTTTCCTATTCTTCACAATTTCTTGATTAAACAGCTTCCTTCTAGCTTTTTGGAATATAATATTGAAATAAACTTTTTTTTGTACCTTCTTGTACTATGTCAACTTTATTTCTGGTTACTTTACAAGAATATCCAATCTTACCACTAAAATCAAATATATCTTTTTCAAATGCACACAATATTTTTCAATGTCATTTGATGACCTAAATCAGTTTTTAGACCCTTCTATAAAAAATGAATGTCATTTCTTGATTAATCTGATCGATTACTTGCTTTTCTTAACCACTTTAAATTTGATACCTTCTTGATACTCTCAAAACTACACCTTGAGTTAAATTCTTGCCTATGAATATTATCTTCATCATCTGAATCTTTTTTTTATTCCATTTTAATCTTCTTGATGGTTCTCTACGTGGGACCACGATGATTTTCGCTGCAAATGAATTTTTATTGGATTTAAAAATTTTTGTTTTCATAACTTTACTATCTTCTGGTAAGTAGATAGCATAACTATTGGTAGAAAAAACATCATCCCTTTTTGTGGTTTGCATTTGGAGTTTAATTTCTCTTTTGTTTAGGTATACCAACATAAATCTTACATCCAAATACTTTAAAATACATTACAGGTGGTTTTACCGATGTAGTATCTAACAAGAGTTTTCTTTCTCCTCTTCCTTGAAACTATCTTTCATGTACAAACAAAGCATACTGCTTAATCCAACGATTCTTCATTTATGTTACTATCTTTCAACATAGATTTAGCGACATCCAGAGCAATTCTATTAAATCTTTCACAGGCACCATTTTCTTCTGTTGTGTAATAACTGATCTGCTCAGCATGAATCCTTGCTCTTCTAAGTGTAGTTCAACTTGATTGTCGCAGAACTCATCACCATTATCATGCCTAACACGCTTAAATTTCAACCAGTCAAAAACTCCATCTTTGCATGACGATTCTTGAATTTCATATACCCATTTTCCTTTTAAGTAGCTAAAACTTATAACTCTTCTTCTTCTCCTTCTGTAAATACCCAGCAGCCTTTATTCAATAACAAAACTTGAGTGCCTGTCTTCCACCTATCTTAATTGTTATGTCTTAATAAGTTAAGGCTTTCTGTAGCATTGATTATTATGCATACCAGCATATAATTCTTGTAGTAGTTCTTTGAATATATATAACAAGTTATTGACTCACTTTGTTTTACCTTATAATTGACTTTCTTTATATATCCAAAATCTAAGTTGCACAAAAAAAATTACATTGCTAGCATTTGATACGAATCACTTTGCAATTCTTTTAAGTTTAAATAATCTTGCTTTTTTGCAGTACTCATTTTGCTATACAAAAAATATTGACTGTGGTGTAGAATTGGGTAGAATATTGACAGTGTAAAAGAAATTTCTTCCTCATGAGAAATACTGAAAAGTTTTCAGTGATTATGACAAATTTTTTGCAAACTGTGTTCGTGCCTTTTATGCATATCTTTATCTTAAGTAGACATGAAAATAACCACTAACCCTCAGGGTTTGTACATTTAAATCAGCTTGATTTAAATCAAATGATTTTTGTAAAAAAATCATTGATTTAAATCAAATTTTTTTTTAATATACATATTGATTTTAAAAGTTAAAAAACAGTGTTTTAAATTATTGATACTTTTATTATTTTCTTCTCTTAGTTTTAAAATTTTAAATAAATTACTGCATTCATTAATTTTAGCTAACGGAATTTCTTTCATTCTTGGTGTGTGTTAAATTTCAACACATTTGAAATAACATTTTTAAAAATCTTTTGATTCTTGAGATTGAAAGTACAGATTAAAGTAAACATTTAATGCTGTGTTCATACAGACTTGCATAGCTGTAGAAAGTAATTAATAAACATAATTTTTTTTCAAAAAATAATGCAAATGTTAATTAAAATTCACATTATATTTTTCTGGTGGAAAATGTATATTTCTGAAGCTTGAGGTTATATTAAAAAGAAATTACCCTATAAGCCAAAAATAGAAAGAAAAAAGAGAAAAAAAAAGGCTGATGAATTCAGATATTTTTTCCTGATATAGTGTCATTCTTCCCTTTCAAAATCTATTTGAAGGAGTAGGGTTACTAACTGGTATTTATTTTTTCTCATAACATGTTTACAGTATCTTTGACATTATCTGATTTTCTATGAAGAAATTTTGTGGAAAAAAATTCCATTGAGTACATAGATTTAAAAAAAAAAAAATTTTTTTTTTTAGCGTAACTTATCTATTTTGATTTAGAATTAAAAATGAATATTTTAATATAAAAATATGTAGATTAAATATTTATTTTTTGATGAATGACTACATTTATATACACAATCTGTTACATTTATTTTGTCATTTTAAAAATCAAGAGAAAAAAAAAAGAAATTACAATTTTAAATTAAAATCATGGTTTGCTAATTGAAACTTTCTTACAATAGTTATAGTAGTATTCTTTAAATTCTCTATTTCACCTAGTCTTTAAATTTCAATCATGCATTTGTTTCAAAATGGTTGCTATGCATTCAAAGATATGTATTATAATGAAAAATTATTTTAGTAAGTTAGAGCTTCTAAAATATTGTTATAATATAGTTTTAATATTAATTTAATTTTGATTAAACATTTATAAAGTTTTTTTAATCATAAATTAAAGTTCTTAGAGTGTATTTGAATAAAAAAAAAAAAAATCTGATTTAAATAAAAAAAAAATCTGATTTGTGAAATTTCTTTTTTAAAAAATCATGAACCCTGCTAGCCATATGGTGAGTCAACAAAAAATAATAAAATAAAAAAACGGAGACTTAAATAAGCAATAGAACACCTTTTACTATATTTTTTTGAAAATCTTTTCACAATAAAAATAGATAAAAGCAAAAAGAATCTGAAAAACAGAATTTTTATTAAAATGTTCAATATCTCCATTCAACATTTTGAATCCTCACAAATTGATAATACACATATTTCCAAGTTGAAATGAATACATTAAATGTATTTTACCTCTCTAAACATTTTTAAATAAAGTTCTTTAAAATCCAGTATGTTTAACTAAATTTTGTCACTTATTTATATTAAGTCTTAAATTATTTCGAAAATGAACTTTAAAAAAAAATATAATTTAATATCAGCAAAAAACATTAATAAAACATAGCTAAAAATTAAAAGAACCTATCGTTATTTGACAGACTAATCAGGTTTGGAAAAAAAAGTGGCTACAAAGTTATTAGAGTCTACTGACAACAAACTAAAAATTTACATTTTCAGATCTACATATCTGCCCATCCCTCTGAAGCCGAGTGAGATTCAAGCTGCCCCCTGCCTGGAATAGAATCCCAGACTTTCACAATGAAAGCTGTTTTTTCCCCCTTCCTCCAAAAAAAAAAGAAAGAAAAAAAAAATCACTATCAAAAATTAAATTTATAAATGTAAATAAAATTTTACAACTTTTTCAAAATCTAAAGTGGCAGATTGAGGTTCATACTTAGAAAAAAAAATTCTGTATTAATCTAGTCTAGAACAATAATTGTAAAAAATATGCACAGTAACGCAATATATATACATTGAAAAATATCAAATAGGTATTGGTTGCACCAATAAAATCTTAAAAGCATGAAAAGTAAAAAGTCATAAGTACAGATATCAATATAAATTTTTATTGTCAGACTTACATACTACCTCGTTGCATTATTCGTACAAAAATAATGCCAATATATTAATACTAGAGATGGGCCTGTATCAGTGTATCTGATACCAGCGATCTGCCCAGACATTTTGTTAAAGGTCCGTTTTCGTAAAATTGTGAAAAAATTACTCGTAATTTGTGAATATAAAATAAACATTAAGGCGCATTCTTTCAACCAGGGTTCTGCTTTTATGAATTTGTGCAAATAGGGTCCTGTTATTGCAAAAAACCTTTCCAAGGTATTTTTAAGTTGTAAATAGATACAAGATTATGCTCAACACTGTAAAACTATAATTGAAAAAAATTAAATTTTCAAAAATTAACAGCAATTGCTGCTTTTAAATTAGAGATGCAACATAGAAATATTTGGTATTTAGCCTATACTGCTGAAAGCAGAATATTCATTTTGGACGAATATAGGAAGAAGCGTCTGCCGAAGACAAAACTTAATTCGTTTACATCCATCTTTCCCCTTGGGAAGGATTTATTCGATTAACAAAACAATAACAGAGATAAGCAAATTTGTGAAGGGTTCGTTTTTATGAAATGATATTTTGTGAAGGGTCCGTTAATGGACCCAAATTTCTTCTAAACAGAACCCTGGATACAGGCCATATGTGACTTTAAATAAATGCATCATGGAAGTAGTGAGTATATTTTGTATTAATTCATTTCTTAAATATGAAGTTGATGAAAATAACTTTTGAATCTTATTTAAGCCTCTAGATGGAGGAAATATTTAAAAACTTGTATTCAGTTTGCATTAATACCCAAAAATCTATTTAATAAGCATTCCAATTGTATCAGTAAGAAAACTAACAATTCACAGAAGAGTCGATAACTTTTCAAACTAGTCTACAGACTCGGGATCAACTTGTATTTATTTGTGAACTCAGAACAATATGTCAATTCATATCAATTTGAGAATTAGTCAAAAATTAGTTACTACTTTTTAATACAAGGAAGAAGTTATTTGAAGAGTAATGCAGATTCATAATTCACGATAAGCTTGTACATTATTATATTTTCATGTTGTTCAACTCAAATCATATTTAAACTGTTTTTTAACTTGCATAATTATAAATATGAAATCCACTTAAATTATCTCAGATATGTAAAAAGTATTCTTGCAACTGACAGTTGTGGGCCAGGGGGGTCATGGGGGTTAAGGCTCCATAATTACGTGACCAACGGCATGATTGTAGCAATGTGGTCAGCACTGCACACTGGCTGCCTTTACTTCTCAAACCAGCTGGCACCAATAGATATGAAGCTGATGATCTCAGATATGAATAACCAAAAAATGTTTGCTAAAGCATTTCATTTTATTATTTAGCCATAATAAATATATGGGTAGTTTTCTCATTACTTTATTAACTTTTGCCTCAAAAAAATCAAGAAAAATTTCTCATAATTAAATTAAGGTTAATCATTTTTAACACTGAGATCATACATTTAAGTGTACAAATCAGCAATAAAATGACTATAAAAATAAAAACTTAGGAACAGTTTTAAGTTGTAATTGCATGGAAAATGTAGGGTGGTTAGATGCCACATAAAGAAAACAATTTATTTTTTCTATGAATCAATAAATTAGTCCATAAAGAATAACATTTGAAATAATATTTAGTGAAAAATTTAATTAATAATTTTTGAGAAAATAGATTATGGTACCTAGAATTAAAGAAACATTAAGAAATTTTACTCTTTCCTTGCAGAAGTATCTTTGTATCACTTATAGTCCCATATTACCTTGAGTAAAAGCACATTTTGTAAGCAAACACATTCAGAACTCTTATTTAAAATAAATAAATTTTTGTGAATGGGAACAGTAGTTACAAAAATATTATCTAGGTCATATAATTCATAAACATGCATGCATTTAGGTTAAAAATAAAATACACAACTAGAATAATATTTTTAAAAAATGACAAAACAATAAATTTACTCACCTGCCGACTCTTTTTGGAAGCTCTATCATCATGATCAGACTTGCGCTTTTTTGAACGACCAGAACTAGCCCCTGAAGAGGTTGGAGTGGATGAAGATTTTGTACTACCGTAGTTTTTATCTTTAATGTAATAAGGTCCATATAAATCTCCAAGTCCACCATGATGGCTGCCTTTATGACAAAATATACACAACCATGTTTTGTCTCTATTGAAGGCATCATAGGTAGGAGACAATGTACTTAAATGTCCAACAGGTTTTTTCTTGATTCTATTGGCTGTGCAAGCAAAATTTCGTTTGGTGGAGATTTTACTGATTTTTTCTTCTTCTTTTTGAGCAACATTTACAACAGAGATAGAAGAAGGATTATCTTTGCTACCTGTTATGTGAACATAAGGACCATTAAACACTTTTCCCTTCTTAACTTTTGGAAGAACCTCTCCAGGTTTTTTATTTGAGCTTTCAAATTTCTTTTTCCCTTTTTTGGTTCTCTTTTTTTTAACAGATCCACTAGTTTTTATTTTATTTTTTGAACCTGCTGGTCTTCCACGCTTTTTGTCAGGATTACGGGAAGTACTACAGTTAGGGGAATTATTCTCACTTTTAATAATTACACAGTCAGAATCTGTACTTGGAGTCCTTTTTAAAACTACCTCCATTTTAACATCATTCTCACCTTCTTCTTTCACTGTAACAACTGAAATGTCATCAACTGTGTCACCAGTTTTTGCTTCTGATGTGGCAGGAGATAGGACAACAATCTGGGGACTTTTTGGGTTTTTAGATTTAGATTTTTTCTCTTTAGCCGTTTCAACTACACTAACAGAATTTTCATTCTTATTGTTAGAAGGAACATGCCATGAATCATTCGTATCATCTTTTCTAATTCGGTGTATTACTACTTTGACTGGGTTTTGTGTAATTTCAGCAAAAGAGTTACCAAACTTTTCAACATCATCTTGCAATGTAACAGAATCATTTGAATTACCAGCTGCTTTTGGACTCTGTTTTTCTTCAGGAGGTAGTTTCTTAAGATTTTCATCTTTAGAAACTTCCTCTTTAATTGAGGTTTCAATGCTTTTTTGCATTGTAAGTGATTGCTCAGGGTCATTGCTATCATCTAAAGTTTCATTTTTTATTGTAACATTAGAATTATTAATTGAATCATTATTTTGATTTGATTCATTTAATGTAAGAACTTCTTTAGCAGATTCAACAATGGAGATTTTCTCATCTTTTGAGATATGAACATTTGAAGGGTTACTATCAAGATTTTTATTATTTTGAGCAGAATCACCGAGTTCATTAATAGAAGAATCACTGTTAGCTTTTTCACTAGGTGATTCATTATGCTTTAAGTCCAACTGCATATCATCAGAATTAGCAATATCAGAAACTTCAGCTGATTCATTTTGTGTACTAGCAATCTCATTTTCATTTTTACATAAATTTTCTTTTGATCCTGAAGATTCAAGCTTTTCAACACTAGGGCTAGGAGTATCAGGTGGTTTGATTTCTTTAGAATCTGCTATTGAAGCTATATCTGGCTTTGACTCTAATGCCTGTTCAGAGTTAGTTGAAACAGCTGCTTTTGTTTGATCTGTAAACACTGGTGCTGACTCAGCATGAGGTGGACATTCTGATAGAGGAACAATGCTATCACTCTGAACCACATTCTGATTAGCTTGGGAATGAGCAATGGCAGGGAGAAAATTTTTATCTTGAGGTGCTAATAAACTTTGATCTGGTTGTAAGCAATCTGGAAGATTGGCTGAATTATTTGGTAAAATTTGATTATTTTGTACTTCTTCTGAATTGGCATGATGAGTTGGTAATGGAAAATTGCAATTTGGTGCTTGCTGTACTGTAGAATAAGGATTATTATTTGAACCACCAGGTTTTGACTCAAAACGATTTTCATCCATATTATAATAAGTGGAAAACATAGAATCTTTTGATTCAGGATTTAAATTGTCCTCTGGCACATAGTTATGAGGACCGCAATGATTTGCATACTGCTCACTACCATCCCCCATCATAGGTATCAGAGTCTTAGATTCTTGATCTAGCATGACCATTTTTTGTAAAGAATGTAAAGGATTGGAAGGATTTGGGGTATCACTACTTCCAACTGAGTTAATAGGTTGAGGTATTTGCCCATTTTCAGGTGGTTGTGGATGAGGCTGCATATTCATGGCATGGGCAGTTGGTGGTGAAAAAGGTTGATTATGTCCAGGGGAGCGAACATGGGTAGGTAAGGGTGAAGGAGTAGTCCTTGAAGAATGCATAACTCCTGGACTAGGAATTTGAGCCTGAGACCATGAATGAGGAGAGTGAGCAGGAGACTGCATTTGACGATAATGTTGTTGACCTTGGGGCGGAGCTGGATTCATATTAGAAGTAGCATGAGGTGGTGATCGCATTGTGGAAACAGGCATCTGAGGAGGAGGATTATTCATCATTTGAGAATGGGAATGTTGCCCATAAGGTGACATCATTTCATTGGTAGAATTATTATCAGTCCAAGGTTTATTTGCCATATTTCTGTTATTTCCACCTGGGTAGCCAGAGTGATTTCGGTACATATCCTGGCTCATATTTGAGCCATATTGATTTTGGTTAGGGGCATAAGCTCCTCCATGATGTCTATAGGGCATATTTTGTTGCATTTGATGGTTTCCATAATGGTGTGGTCTTGGGGAAGGCAAAGGATGATAGGGTTGATTTGGGTAGGGCTGGTACCCAGTTGGCTGGCAATGAACTCCCTAAAATATTAGAAAAGAATATATAGATATCCACAAAAAAAATGTTTTAAGGTGATACATATACTGATAAGGTGGTATTAGCAATATTCACTAAAAATATGACTAAACAATGTAGACTTAAATTTTTTATGGTAGTTTGTCTCATGTGAGCATAACCTCTCTTGTTGCTTACGATTATCTGGACTTAACATAGTTCTAATTGGTAATGGAATGTATCCAACGGATATTACTGTAATATAATAAAAGAAATACAGGATTTATTCAGAAAAATTTACTTTGACTTTTCTTTCCCTGGATCGAGGGAAATATATATTTTTCTTTTCAGTAGAAAAAATCATTCACCAATACTTTCCCCAAAACACCATTTTTTTTTTTTTGCAGAATTTAGGATTTATAGCAGATGGCGCCATAGGTAAAGCATTCAGAAATTTTTAAAATACATAAACGGATATATGTTGTATATATCTAACATTTCAAAATGAATATTATACATTTAGACAAAGAATGTGGAAATACATTTTTCAGTTAAAAAAAAAATTGTCTGTAAAGAGTATTTTAAAAGAAGACGCTAAAACATCCCCATTTTATTTAAGGATTTCTATAACAAACTGTACCTGTTTCCATTTATAGTACCTTATGCAAAAAAAAAATCAAAATATTTAAAAATACAGTTTAGAATATTGAACCCATTATTCTGCAATAAACCTATAATTTAGAATACCGGTTGAAAGCCAAAATGTCTCATTTCATTACTCAGTTGTTCACTGCTTTTCTTATGACAGATGGACTAGAAGAAATATTCTCTGATTTTAGATAAGATTAGTTCAGTTCAAATCGTGAACTGAACTTAAAGACTGAAAAGGAGATATAGTTTTTGTTATATTTAAATAAATAGAAATAAAGAGAAACTTTGATATTTTAAATTTTTAGTTTAATTAAATTGTCATGACAATTGAGATTAAGTTAACATTTTACCCTTTAACAAGAACCAAAAATGTGTTTTATTTAATACTTGCTTATTATTAGATAAAAAGTTTGCTTTAAAGAGAGTTTTAATGATACAGAATGCGAACGCATATTGCATGCCAATATCAGTTGCTTATGTTCACGGATGTTACAACAATATTTGTAGCCTGAATTAACACGAGAGTGCTCCTGCTATCACAGGAAATTACTCCCAAGCCCATAACACCAGGTGTAGGTCAAGTGTATCTAGACCAGAGACAGGTCGGTACCAGATGCTCACCTGGCTTCCTTCTAACCAATATACAGCTATCACTGGCAAAAAGGCAGAACAGACTTTCATTAGAAAACACAACAGATTTCCACTCTGTCCTCTAGTGAGCTCAACTCGACACCACTCACGTCGTAAACGGTAGTGGTTTAGAGCGAATGGAATGCAAGATACAGGATGTCTCGCTTGGAGCTGCACTTGAAGTAGTCTATTTGTAACTGTTTTTTGTGTCACTGCACTGCAGCTCAAATTTCTGATGCAGACACAGTATGGTACACCACAGCCAGGGTTGGGTTTTTGACGTCAAAAAGTGGTTTTTGACATGACAAGGGTATAATACTGGTTTAAACAGTCAAAAATGTCAAAAACTGAAGTTTGCCAAGAAAATATATAAACTTCAAAACTACCAATAGTTGCCATGCATTATATTGAAATTTAATTATACTATAGGTAATCAGCAGGTTTTAAAATATTTTTTAATTNAAACCATGGTTTAAACTGTCAAAAACTGTCACATGTCAAAAACCTGCCAACCCTGACCACAGCCATACGCCACTCTTCCTTCTGAGTAATGTTGTGTAGTCGCCCAGAGCACAATCATCTTGAATACCTTCCCTTGACCAATGATGCCAAAAATCATGCACAGTGTATACATTTTTCTCCAGTCTTTCACTTTCTGCAATATTGCGGAAAGAAAATCCACCTTCTTGCAGCCTTATAACATGACCACATTCAAAGTCAGTGAGCTGTTGATAATGGCTTCTTCATCTTCTTAAAGACAATCTTGACTAACAGCAACTCAGTATGTTAAAATTTAGCCAAAAACAATGCTTACGAACTGTAGAACACTTATTTAAAGTAACCCTGATTTGCATGTTCAAAGTGGCGCTACTAGCGCCAAGCGCAAAATTTGAATACACATCATGTTTTAGCTGTATAAACAAGCAAACCAAATTAGGTTATCTAGCACAACTCCTTCTTAGTGTTTGGATTTTTTTTTTCTGTCAGAGTATAATATATGTAATTAAACAAGATATTTTAAGAAATATATTGCATTTGCTTTATTAATGACTGAAAAAACTGAATTTTTCTTTTAGTATTTAAAAATGGAGTTATAAGAGCATGTTTGCTCTTTAATGATTTTTTTTTTATTTTTTTTAGTTTTATTAAAACAAAGCCGCTAAAATATTTTTTTAAAAATTGGATTTCTTTTTATCAATTGCTATGTTGTATCATTATAATAAATAAAAAATCATTTTAAATAATTTAATATTTTTTAAAGATTATAACATTTGAGATTATTGAATTTTGTCTCGCCTAAAACACTTCAAAATTCAGTTGAATTTTCCTTGAATTCTTCTTTTTCTAGTTCCCAAATCATGTTCACAGCTATATTATTTACTAAACTGCCTTCAAAACTTGCTGTAGCTTCAGAACAACAAGCTTTAACATCAGCTCCAATTTTAGAAGAAATCTAGTGGATAACGGCACTGTTTCATAACTATTGGTGGCTTGGCCAAATAATTTCAACAAGCAAGACAGACATGACACTAACACCACTCCAGGCCCATAGCTGAAAACACATATAAATATTTGGAAAAACCATCTTCATAATTGACTAGTATCCTTAACTATTTTTAAGTATTCATGCAGAAGTCAATCACAGTTTTGATTACTACAGAAAAGTTGCAACTTTCATGGGTGTTCTGCGCGAATCACGTTCTAACAGACTCAATGTGCGACAGTGTTGATGCGTCATAGGTTAGCTTTCAATTTAAGCAGTTTGTAAAAATTGCCAGCACTTACATGGAAGAAATAGTGTGTGCATGTGCCTGGCCAGTATTTGTAGAGGGATTTCATTTCTCCCCTTCCTGTTCTACATATTGGAAAAATAGATATTTGAATAAGAACTTTAGTTAATGAATAATCGAAATATGATTATCGCAAGTGAAAATTCTCTACAAATCAATGACAGTTTAAAAAAAGTAATTATAAATAATGATAATAAATAATAGGTTAATTAACTATTCAATTGAGTTATCTTGTTTGTAATTACATATTCTTTTTATATTTTTGTTCTTTGATGCCGTTTGCAACATTTTTATTTTTGAACAACCAATTTGTTTATATCTCCGAATAGTGGACATCTCTTAAAGGTGGTCACATAGGCACAGTTTCAAAGGAACCATTGTTTGGAGATTTTACTGTGTAAAAATAACTTGCATACAAAGATTTAGAGAAAATAAGTCACTCCTGGATTTGTATCTTATTAATTATTCATTCACGGACGCAGCACAAGAAATATTATAATTTAAATCTCTATATAAGCATAAAATTTTGAATCATTTACAAAAATTCTCTTAATATTATTATTCAAATTGAATGTATGCAAAACTGTAATCGATAATTTCAAATAGAAAGTTCAAAAAATTAAGAAAACATGGGCTAGCGCTAATTAATAATAAAAATTTCAACAAAATTGCTAGCAAGAGTGAAAAAAAAATTTAATTATGGCCTCCTATTGTCACTGTTATTTATGTCAATCAGATTGATATAAACTAAATTGAAGAGGAGAGGGTAAGAGGAGGGAAAACGGAAATAGAATTATTTTTTAAAAAGAAGTTTAATAATGAGTTAAATAAAATATAGTGAAAACTAGGTCAATTGTTACTCTTGACTACGGAGATACTTAATTTGGAATATTAGATATCTAATTATTTTACTTTTAAATAATATTTTTTAATTCCTTAAAAATTAAATTTTGAAACCCAAGATTTTGTAATTAGATATTTAGAGTTACTGAAATTGAATGTTGAAAAAATGTGAACATTATAAAATGTATCTTTCTTAATTATGCTGCCACTTTTTCAGTTTCTTATGAACCTTAGAATCTTACGAAACCTGCTTAAAATGAGACTATCTTGATACAATATTGAGAATTGTAAAATAAGTTTGTCAATAAAGAGATTAGATCAACTACATTTTTAGCAACATTAAATGGAAAATCTGTTGCAGAATGAATAGAAAAATCTCGATTTTGGATGCAATTTGCAATCTTTATCCAAAGAAAAACACCAAAATTAAATATTAGACACTATGAAGAGATTTTTTTTTAACAATATATAACACAATGTTTTTAATAATGTTTTTTAGCTTTTTCTTTAGATTAGTTTTTGTTTGAAATTTGAGTTCCTTATATCCCGTTACGGGTTTTTCTTGTTGTTTTATGGTCTTTTCACTATCGCATTACGGGTAATTCATATTTGTTACTGTTTGTATTGTTTGTTAATAAAAGTTTTTATAAAAAAAAAATTGAACAGTTCTTTAATACAGCTTGATACGCTACAACACCATGAATTGGGGGGGGGGTAAATTCTATTTTAAAAATTAGATATTTCGACGACCTAAATCCATGACTTTTTTTAAAAAATAGTTAAAATCATGACATTTCATGACAAATTTTCTTCAATATCGAAATTCATGACTTTCCAGGTGCATGGATACCCTGTTGTTAGCATTAATTAGTAGTTTATGTCACTCCTTGGAACCATTATGATTGACACTTAGTAACTGAATACCCGATCACTAAAATAAAAGTTATTCAAGGTAATATCTTCTTTTTTTTTTGCGTACTCAACACACATTACCACAATGACAACTGGAAGGATGATGGGGTCATCACACAACCAGCTTCTGCACCATACTCCCCAACTATGCATGGACTTTTCTAGTTCTAAATCCCCTAAAAACATTCTATTAGAGTGGATTCTGAACCATTTAGACATGAATGGATCTTAAAAAAGGACTAAATCGAAATAAATCGATACATAAATATTTATTCAAAAAAAGTAACACTAAATGCATAAAATTAATATAAAACTAAGTACAAAACAAATATTATGAAAAATCAAATATAATAAAATTTCTAATATATATATTATGTATATATTTAACTTAGAATAAGGAATTCAGCGAAAATAAGAAATGTCCTAAATAAAGTGAAAATTAATTTTTAAGTAATTATAAACACAACTTACAACGTGATTATCATACGAGTGCTCAGAAAAATTCACACCAGGGGCTCCAGCTCCTGAAACATTAAATAATAATTAAATTAAAATTATTAAAAAATAATTAAATTACAAGAAAATTACATAAAAATAATTCGAAATATTAAAACATTTTCACTAACTTTAATAAAAATTATTTTTGTGCTTGATTCTTACATCCTAAACAATTTTTATTTTATATATAATATTATGTAACATGGGTAATTTTATCATACAGTGAAATACCCTACAATTTGACATGCAAAAAATCAATATCAAGATAACAATTTATACACAATACGTGGCGCATATTTAACATATTTTTATGAGCTAACATTTATAATTAAATTACCTACTAATGAAGAATATGACATCTTTACAGTAACTAATTCAAGGGAAAACTTACTTCTTACATGAATATTAATATTCCCTTTTAAAATCACTTGAATATGAACCGCGACATTGGATTTTAAAATCGCACAAATATGAATCGAAATATTGGACTTCAAAAGCACGAAAATACAAATTGCGATTTTGAGTTTTTAAAACCCATAAATACAAATTTTTTGATCGCGTGAATACGAATCACACACAATGTTTAGTTTTTAAACTAAATATAAATACAAAAAATTGATGTTTGTTATTACAAGCGAGTGAATACGAATTGCAATATTGGATTTTAGAAATGCATGAATACAAATCGCAACATTGGATTTTAAACTTGCATGAATACGAATCGTGATACTGTGTTTTAATAATGCGTAAGTACAAATCTCATCAATAGAAATTACGATTTACAATTTTTAAATGAGGTAAATACAAAAATGGGGGTTCATATGAAAATCCTGAGTAAGAATGATTATATTACTAGATTTGATGATATCAGCAAGTTTCAAAATGTTGTCAGATTATAAGTTTTTGTTTCGCGGAAGTTGGGTCTTGAGATGTGATACTTGCCCTGGTTCTAATTTTTAAACCCAGAAGAATGATATAAAAACCAGGAATTCCGGAGTACATCCGGGATACAATCACCCCTGATGTACTAATATTGATATTATTCCATCATATTATACTAGAATCTTTATTTGCTTTGTCTTTTTATCTTTCAATAATCTAGTAAAATTTCATACCTTTTTACTTTGCATTGTACAATTTGATAGATCTAAATGCATTATCACATTTTGCACCATAGCATCCAAAATTTTATTACAAGCCTTTCATGGATTTTCACATAATCAAGAAGCACAACCTTTTTTAAGAGCAACGATGATACAGCAAAATTAGAAAATGTCTCAGCAGAAATGGCATTTCGTCTCCGGTAAAATCGTTTATTTGTTTCACTTTAGTCAGTAAAAATGCAGCTTTTTCTCAATGAATATAAAAGGGACAGGTATAATTTATCCCATTACATATAGCTTCATAAATGGTAAAATGGTTTTATAAATGGCTGATATTACATATTAGTAATTAAATAAATTTTCAGATATATAATACATGACAGAATGTATTATTTATTAGCAAATAAGTTTAGAATCAAAGATTGAGATTAGGGATCAAACGAATATTTGGCTACAATTCTTTTGCCGAATATGCAGAAAAGTATTATCTGGAAAATTATTCTTGCAAATAATTTTTGGAAAATAATGAAAAAATTTGTTTGTTTTTTTTTAAAGTTTTGTTTGTTTTTCTGTTTTAAAATAAGCAAAACATGTTAAGGGAACATTTCTAATAAAATGTATTATTTTATTGTCATTTTTTTCTTGTATAGTAACACAGATAATTAGTAACATAGAGTACTGTGATTCTTAGCATTAAAGTTATATTTCAGAACTAAGAACAATAATTTTTCTTTTTCTCTTTTGATTTTTTTATTAACTTTTTTTTATAATCGCTTTTTTTTAAGTGTGTTTCCAATAAAAGTTATTCTTTTATGGTTATTTTTAGCGTTAAATTTATCCTTTATAAATTAAAAATGATTTTTTTTTCTGTGTTTCTATCTAGCTTTTTTTTTCTTCAAAAAACTTACGTTTTCATAGATGTTTTCATGAAATTATGATGGTCTCTATTAGACTTTAATCTTTACTTTTTTATTGAAAATACAGTAATAGGAAAACAGAAATGCTTTGTTTTTAAATTTTCTTTCAAAAATTAGATCAATTTTTATTAATATTTGTTTTTATAATAACACTGCATTTTTAAAATTGTACCTGATTCACATTATCCCTTTTAATATTTTATGGATACATTTTTTTTCTCTCCAGAAAACATTAATTTTTGCATTAAAATTTGGTTCAAGAATTATGAGGATTTTTTCTATTTCTTTTTTTTTCCCCAATAGCTGCTAGCCAGTTTTTTTTCTTTTCTTTAATCTTAAATAGTAGGTCTTAATATCTGATTATCTTCATTATCCTAAACATTTACATAAAAGTTTTTTTTAAAAATCTTATTTTATGAAATTTTGATACAGTACAGAACCCATTATCCGGAAATCAGAAAACCGGAAAACCAAAAAACCGGAACGAAATTCGATAAATTTTCCCGCCATTTTTCTAAAAAATGTTTTTTTCCTCATAAGAGTTTAGAATTTTTCTTTCTTTTTTTAAAGATGTTTACCTCACCATCATTTTGGAAATAATCATTAGTTTATTACTTCATCGTTTTTTCTTCTTTTTAAGATTATTTCCCAATATATATATATATTTTTAGTTGGGTTTAACGATAAAAAAACGGCTTTTGTAGCGATTCAGAAAACCGGAAAAATCAGTTATCCGGAATAGCGATGGTCCCGATCGCTCCGGATAATCGGTTCCCTACTGTACTTACATTTTATAATCTAAATGAACAAAATGCATGAAAATTATGAGCCTTAATATTTTGAAGAATTAAAATACCTACATTTTGTTACAATATTAATAGAGATTACAATTCTTAACACTACCTTTGAATAATAATAAAAAGTAAAAATAATTTTTAAAAAATGATAATTTTTTTAGAATTAGAATTTTTTATTTACTTATGTGAACATTAAAAACAAATGTTACTAATATGGTTTGAAATGCAAGTAGGTTGGACATAAAACTTTTTTTTCTTTCTATTTTAACTATGGATTAGTATTCTCCACTCTTAAAAATAAATCACGTCAAAACGAATAACATAATGCAAATTTTAAATCACTTTAAATAGAAACGCCATGTTTCATTTTATAACATGATCAGTAACACATGATCAAGTTACTTGATTTTAAAAATACTCTAATATGATGCGAAATTTTAAAATTGTGTGAGTACAAATCGAGATGTTTGTCTTAATGTACATCATCTTTCGAAATCAATAAAATTTTTAGGAAAATTATCAGAATTCAAAATCTATCTAGGAATCTAAGAATTCATTTATCCTGTAATAATTTTAAGTTATTAGTATATTTGTTAATCGAAGTGACAAAATTGAGGATTTAATAAGATAAAAATTCAAATGTTAACATGGTACTTATCTATTTTGCAGGCACAGGTGATAGAGTCACTTATGAAAAAAAAAGTAAATAAAATAAATTTTTTTTTTATAATTTTTTTTATTTAAAAAAATAAAATAGCTGAATTTATTAGGGCTGACAGAATTGATAAGTACTCTTGTTAATTTACTGTACACAGTAATATTAAAATTGAACAAGGGTGTTTCTATTCTTGGATGAGCAAATTAAACAAATCTGCTTAAAAACAAGTTATTGTATTTTAGAAATATTGATTATCATAAATATAAAAACATTATCATCTTCTTAATAGATTTGAAACAAATTTGAATAAAAGGATGTTTAGAAGAAATTCCAGTACAAATGATCTATTGATGGTTTTATGTCTTTCATAAATGTTTCATTTGAATAAAATTACATTGCTGACATTATACTGTGTTTGTTGCAGTTTAAGATAGTTATTGTCAAATCTTCTCTACATAGTTTAAAAGTAGTTTTGTGATATATTTTTAAATAAATCATATTATTGATGATTCGGTCATCATATTTTACAGATTGATAAAATTTTGTTGCACAAATTCTTCGATGCATGTACAAGGATAATAATGCTTTATTCAAAGTTTATGACTATGACGATCTAGTTGTATTAATGCTAAGTGCAATCAATGTATAATTTAATTGATTTATGGAACCGAAAATCGTTAATAAAATAAAATATTGGTCTACAAATAGTATACAAATTTTATAATGCAAATAACTTTGCTTAAAAGCTTCATAAATGCAAAAACTAAAAAAGCAGAAATAACCGAAAATACTTTGTAATACGGTATTATTTTTAACCCTCAAAATATGTAATTTTATAAGAATAATGTTCGTTTAAAAGCAAATGGGGCAATACAATGACTAACCTGAATAAATAAAATGTAAGTATTTGAAGGTGTCTATATTATTGATCGATTAAAAATAAATAAATAAAAAGGGATAAGAAAATAGAAGTATTTAAACGGCTTAAATGTGGTTCATTTATACAGTATTGGAAAAAGAACGTGATATCATGAGTAACCATAACAAAATAGTTAAAATGACTATTTTATTCAGCAGAGAAAATAAAAATTATTTCTACTTATAATGACAAACATACTGAACAAAACAAAGAAATGCCCCCAGAACTAGGCGCTTTCATTTTAATAGTATAGTAAGGCTTAAAATAGCAGAAGTCGCCAAATTTTATGGTGACATAATCATCCTAAATGATCAAAAAAAGCTATATCTTTGCAAACATAAGTTTTTCAATGGCTTACCTCGAAATGTTTGTGATGTATTTTGCATGTCGCAATAAAAGACCAAAGTATTTTATTGCTTTAATGCTATATAAATAATACAATACAAATAAGCATCTGGGTTCTAGAATATAAAATTAGACGCGCGAAGACAAAAGTTCTCATAACCGTTGTTTATCCCGTGGATTTTTTTTCTCTTTCACCATGGGATGGATTGATCGAGGTGAGGCTTGGACGACATGAAGTGAAGGGGAGGAGGAACGAAATTATGAAAATGTCCAAATTTATTGATTATTTTGCGCTAATTTCATATTTTCGTTGAAGGATGCACATAATAGGTTCTGACAATTATAATGGAGCCTTTGATTGTGCAATATTTGTTAAATAAGCTATTTTTTTTAATATTTAAAATTATATATTTTAACTTTCATTGATGATGTAAAATAAGAAAAAATGCTCAATAATTAAAATTATTCTGTGAAGATTATAGTATTGTTTAAATGTTTTGGGGGAATGTAAATTGTTAATTTTTTTGCAACTAAAATAACAAAAATAATTTTTTTGTATTTCAAAGAAAAAATATAAATATAGTTTTAGCCTGTTTTTTATAATTGTTTATGGTAAAAAAATTGAAATCTTTCAAACTGAAGTTTTTAATGAAAGTAATCCATGATAAGCATAATAATAAAATTAGTAACGATCTCTGTTTATTTCATATTTCGTTTTGGCAACACTATGAGGAAATCGCAAACGAGGTCCTTTGAGTTCGATCCTGATTTTGGTCAAAGTTCCACTGTTTGCAAAATGGTAAATGGTAGTAGTTTAGAAGTTTTCCATAAATTGATAAATTAGGAGAGGGGTTGGAGTGGCTTAATTTTAAATCCTCGTTGTGGGGACTTTATAAGACTCTCTGTTCCACACTTGTTGGGAAGGGGATAAGGGTAACAAACGTATCAGACTCTGAGCAGGTTTAAAACTCATTAACGCTATCTCTTTTAATCTAAAACTTTCGACAAGAAAAAAAAAGGAACAGTTAAAGAAATAAGTGCCACATCGCAGAGGAAGTTAATGGGGAAAAATATGCTGAATAAAATAAACATATTTTTGCACGAGGTTTTGATAATCACCAAAGTGGCCAGTTAAAAGTCGCATTCTTCTTTTATACATCCCTTTCCTATCATTGTGGCGTTCACTTTAGTCTGCATATGTTACTCTCATGAAGGGGAATTTCTGCCACACATTTGACAACTGAACTTGTTTATTTTCATTAAATTTTAATTAATTAATTTATTTTTTACTTAGAGAAAGGGTGCCTAATACTCGAAACTCTATCGTAGCCGATGGAGGAACAAAAACAATCTAAAGTGTAAGTAAAGGTTATATGAAGATGACAGGACAGTAAGAAAATCGGAGCTTTCTATTCGCTTAGTGCGATGGATAATACATGAAAAATGTCCTCTTCTGAGTTTTTTGAGTTCGTCAGTAAAGTGCATTATTCTTAGTTAAATGCAAGGGAATAATTTGTTACGTTCGTTTTATATTTTTCTCTCTTTATAAATTATTTTTTGTCATAAAATTATCTATAAACATGTTACTTGCCGCTATTCTTTATTAGGGCACCTTTTATAGATTTTGCAGATTTGTTTACAATTTTAATTTTTGAGATAATAGTTGAATTTTATTGATTTGGCTGATCTCTAATCGGCCTATCACTTATGTTTAAAATTCCTATTGTAAGAAATAACATTAAATTGGATGATGCCTTAAACCCTAGTAGTCAAAATTAAGCAGTGTCTTAGAGAGCATCAGTTAGCAAATTAAGTAGCAATGTCTACATCGTTGTAATGACAGTTAAAAATAATAAAAAAAAAAATTTAGAGGAGAAAAAATAAATGTTTTTCTACTTATTTTATTTTTAATTGGATTCCGTCAAGAAGAATAAAAAATAACCTTGAAAAATTAGTTTCATCGAAAAAAAATTCATAAACAAAAAGGCCACATTAAATTTCCTTCGACTCCTTCTTCCAGGCACTACAACCCAAAACAGACCAGGAGCCGTCCCAACGAATTTTTTTTTTCATGCGCATGTTATTTCCAATTATATATATCCTAAGAATGAAAAAAAAAGAGAAAATTTCTAAGAGAAGAAAAGATCTAAAAATATTGATAATGTAAATAATGTGAAGTGCACCAAAAGAAAAAAAAAAAAAATCCTGTAATCTCTTAAGTGAATCAAATAATTTTTGTACATAAACTTCATTTTTCTTATCCCACGAGAATTTCAATCATATTTTTTTTGGCGATTATTAAATTTTTTTTATTTAATAATGATGGATTTCTTTTAAATAATTTTTAATTTTTCATAATAATAAACATTGTGTTTTAGTAACTATATAAGCAATTCTATGTAAGCAAATGAAGATTAGACAGTTAAAGGAAAAAACGATTTATGTCCATTTTTCAGAAAAATTATGACAGAATCATCATCTTGGCGTTTTGAGGTTTACCAAGTTTTGACAAATCTATAACGTGGAAAATCGGTTCTCTCTGAGAGTTATCTCACAGTGAAGATGGGCAGTGACGGAGAAAAACAGTTTCTGTCTTCGCGTAGAGAAGAACAAAGAAAAATATAATGAAACAGTTGACGGGAATATAGTGACGAAGCATTGATTGGGGACGAAATTGAAAGAAAAAATGCTTCTTGTCCATCCCGATTTTCAAATTTTATTTTTTCTCAACATCAAAAATGCAAATTTTGTTTTGAAATATTTAGAATATGAAAATAAAATCTTGTAAACTTAGTGTATATTTTTATTTTCAAGATTTCAATCGAATGCTTGCTCCAGAAAATTCTCAAACCGTGAAATTCGTTTTTCAGTATTGAAATTTAAAGGAATCACGGGAATAGATGATGAGGAATGAATATTCAAAAATACGGCTTTAATAAAATAATTACAAATAATTATGGAAATTATTTTCTTGAGTGGATTTATATTTTTATTCAAAAAAAGTAATAATTCACCAACTCAATTACTTGAAAATTGATTCACGTAAAAACTTCCAATTATTTGGTGTTAACTATTGGAACCATATTTTGCAGATTGTGGCTAGGCCACCTTCCATTATTCTGAGAGTTAGACCATATTTTGAAAGTTTATCCGTTGAAAAAAAAAAAAAAAAGAAAAAGAAAAACGTATGTTCATTCAGTAAAAGTTCGTTCGTGTATATAATTTCGTAACTTAAAATATCGACTGTATAAATTAGTTCGGATAATTAAGGCTTGTCCCTTGAATCATTCAGATTGCATCTTACTACGTGAAAATTTTATAATTGGACAACAACATGACGAAAAGTTAAGTTACAGGCGTAGTTCAGCTTAGGTTTGGAATACTTTGATAAATTTTATTTTTTGATACTATCATGTAACGGGTGTGAGAGGTAAACATCTGCTACACATTATTTATAATTGGATACCTGTAAGTGACGTCACGCGTGGTTAAATTGTAACATTTGCTTATGCCTCGATTCAATAGCCAATCAAGTTCGACGATACGCGTGACGTCGCTTGCAAGTATCAAGTTAAATCTGATCCGAAAATTGATTCAGCATGGTAATAAACCAAACCTAATAGCTGTGACATGAATACTGAACAGGTCGTACACAACCACGTGATTAGGCACTATTATGCGTTTTTATCGGAATTCTCCTCGAGTTGCAAGTACCCAATTTAGATAAGCTTTCTTTATCTAATTTATGTACTTTTTTCGTTTTTTAAAGAAAACGAAGATGTTTATAGTCTGATAAATATAAGATGAGCTCTCAGTCTGGTTGCTTTTAGTGAGGTCGAGACTTGACCGCGTGATTGCCAGAGAATATGTTCTTTTAACCATAAAACAGAAATATAGTTTTTTTTTATTATTATTGGCATTTTTAAGATTCTAACAATTGGGTACTTGCACTTAAGGAAGAAGATCACGAATACCCACACGTGTAACCTATGACATCAGCTCCGGCTGATCGCTTATTAGCAAAATGCATGTTAAAGTTGAGCTAAGTTTCTCCATATAAGTTAGAATGTTAATTAATGTTACAGCGTTACAGAAAGTTAATCAAAGACAGCGGCGAATCTCACATCAAATTTGTTGAAATATAATTCTTTCTCGCCTACGTCTTTTACTTAACTTAAATGTATTATTTTTCGAGTATTTTATTATAGCTGTGATTTATTCTTTGTTTTGCGTACCTGGCAACTTCGAATTCATAATTAGTTTGTTCATGTTCTGCATGACTTCTGCCCTGTCTTTGTGTTGAGTAAGAAATATGTAGTGAAAGAATTTAAATCTTTGTGAAAGAATATAGAACGTGTCACTCAAGAGAATTGATACTTGAAGGGCTTGGATTACTCGAAATAGACTAAAGAGAATAGTTTGCTAACGAAAACAAATGCCACGTTTCAACAATCAATCAGGATCAAGATATCCACACTACGTCACTTGCAGGTATCTCATTGTAAGAAGCGATATTTACGTCGACTTAAACTTTGAGGAAGAAGTTCTCGCACTTGTATTTGGACAAAAAATGTTAAAACTCAGCTTGTCTTTTGAAATTTCTGAACCTCATTTCCCTTAGAAGCAAATGTATTTCTGCAAAATTATTTAATGACTTCTAATTTAATTTATATTTTTGAAGAAAAAAAATTAGTATGAGATCAGTTCCGAAAAATGGAAGGAGGTATACTGCTTGCTTGGAACATTTCAATAATATAAGGATTTACGGAACATCATGTGTATGCTTCTAACTTAAACTGCCTGAGAAAGTATGTCTATTCTGCATCTGATAAAAAATGTTTTAAGTTGATTGGTTTTAGAAAATTTGCAAATCGTGTACCCTTTTATGAGAAATAAAACAATGGAACTGTAAAGAGTGAATTTATTTAATGACTTCCAAATCCAATTTAGGTTATTGACAAGAGAAATAAAATTGTGAGATCAAGTCCGACAAATTGGAATAAGTGCACTGTTTAAGTGGAGCATTTCAATAACATACGGTTTTACAGGACACCAACTGTTTGGTCCAACGTAAACTTTAGAGGTCGCTATACCAAGGAAGAAACTTTTCATGGCAAATTCTGTTTCATTTTTATTGTTACTTAAAATTTAAAGCAAAGAAAAAAGTCAATTCAGGTAAACCTAGAGTAAGCAATAAAGTCTCAAATGCTAAAAAAAAGTTTTTCTTTTCATAATGAAAGCAAATTATGGCAGGATTATTCTGGATTAAGCTACCGAAAAGTAAATCTTTCATAATTTATTTTCATTTTAATATTTTGAAAAAAAAATCAGAATTTGAATCTTAATGGTTTCTCTGGGTTTACTTGCATGAACTCCCTTTTTTCTTCTAAATGACAATGGAAGCGAAACACAATTAGGCATGAAAAGCTTTTCCCATGGTATAGCGTCCGCATTTTTTAATACGTGTTTCACAAAAAATGTACATGTTAACTGGTTTTTATAAAATTTTCAAATCGTATACTCATTAATGAAAAGAAAAAAGTTGCAAAACACACTACTGTAAACAGATAATTTATTAATGATTTCCTAATCCAATTTAGATTTTTTGAAATTTTTTTTATTTAAAGATCAATCCCATAAAACGTTCGAGCAGACTTGCTTGAAACATTTCAATAATCTTCGATTCTTTTATCTAGTAGAGTTCTTTAACTGGCTTTAAAGACACAAGAGCAACTTGGTTTCCTAAAAACGGATTAACAGTTCTAGGAAAAGTTTGACTGTAGATCGCGTCATTGAAAGGTACCGGCAGAGGTGTTCCACCACAATTTGCTTGTCTTACAAGAGCATCGTTGTCACCAACATGATAGGCCATGAAAGAAGAACCAGAAGTGGACATGGTTTCGATATCTGCACCATCCGAACGTCTGCGATGGGTGTGGATGTAGCACCAGAGACTAAAGCCAATCACTACAACAATGACAATTATCAAAACGATAATCACAATCAGCAAACTCAACATCTGAGATTCTGAAAATATAATTAAAATTACAATAAGTAATTGTAGAAATGCACGTATCAATTAATAAAATGAAATCTGAATGGAATCTGTGAGTGCAATTAATTCGTGGTATCGAGTTTAAAATATATTTTTCCAAGTGTTTTTTTAAAAAAGGAATGGCAGCGCTAAAGGGTAAAAATCAATCATTCTACTGATTATCTAGCTAATGTGTACATATTAAATAGGGTGATCAATTAAAGTGCCTAAAAATTGTTTCATTTCTCAAATTACCAACTATATTTGTATAATCAGCATATTGCCTACTACACACTCGTTATAATGAAAATAAGATCCTAGCTAATGTGTACATATTATCTAGGGCGATCAATTAAAGTGCCTAAAAATTGTTTCATTTCTCAAATTACCAACTAAATTTGTATAATCTGCATATTGTCTACTACACACTCGTTAAAATCATAATAAGATCCTTGGTTGAACAATAGCAACGTTTCTGTAAATATAAATTAACATATTATTTATTTTTCGCTGATAAAAAATCAAGGAGTCACAATCGAACAATCAATGCATTAATTGATTGAATCAATTATCAATAACTAAACTATAATTCAAAGACTCAAATGGTTAAAATCACTATTACAATAATTTGTTATTATACAATGTCATTCATTATTTTTTCAATACCTTAAGAATCAAGACAATAAATACAATCAAACAATCAACAACTTAGCTGATAGAATGCGAAAACAAAATTTCTAGGTAAAAATCTAGGTAAATAGCGGAAACTTGATTTCTAGGTAAAATTCTAGGTAAATTGCGGAAACTTGATTTCTAGGTAAAAATCTAGGTTAATTGCGGAAACTATATTTCTTGGTAAAAATCTAGGTAAATTGCGGAAACTTGATTCCTCACTTTGGCGGATTACTTCAATAAATCTGAAAATTAGCTAGAATGTGTAAATTAAAAGCGACTTTCGAGTTTTAGAAATAACGAATATAGTATATTTTTCGAGTAAAAAGATTTAAATTGGTCTTTGATAACCTACATAAAATACATTTTTTCAATAATAATGATTACGTGAGCAATAGTTAGTCTAATATTAAAAGTTAATTTAAGATTTCATAGATAATACATTCTTAAATAAATTAATTATTGTAAAAAAAAACTTTTATTTTACTTATTACTCAATCAAAATATAATTCGACCAGTTATAGCAAGATAATGATTTTTATTTCTAAGGTTGGAATTTCTTTTCGATTATTATTCATATATTTATTATTATTTACTTCTCTTCCCGTTTTCTTACATGTAAACTAACTCAATTTTTTATTGGAATATTGTTTTCCTTCTTTTTTGTTGTTGTTGAATTAATGAAAACTATTACTAATCAACAAAATTAATGAATAAAAATAGAGACTTACTTTTTCTACTTCTTATGCTGTAACACACTTCTAAACGACAATTATTCAAATAAAAAATATGGTTTGTTTATTTGCAAGAGAGCATGAAGAACACAAGAACAAAAGGTCATTCAAAGGAAATTAGCGTTGTCTTATTATAGTTATAAAAATCTACTGTCTACTAAAAAAAATATATGTAGAATCCACGAAAACAACACAGCTAGAATTTTCAGGCATTTTGTGCCGTAATATTGTTCGAATTTTCTGAAAACTTAGCATGGGATTAAGTGGAACGATATTATAGTACTACCTAAAACTTAATTTCACGATGCTAGAGTTTAATTTAAAACAACACATGGTTCAATATTTAATTTTGTTAAGGTTGCAACATTTTTTTTTCTCCAGTTTACGTGAGAAAGAGTTAATAGTTATTCCGTTGAGTTGAGTATAAAACAAGGAATGAAATCAACTGTTTATCAGAAATATACAGAGAAATTTTAATGAAGCAATGCAGCAAGCAGATAAAATTGCACCAAGAGAAATTTTTTTTATACCATATCCAGGTAGACTTCCTTGTAAGACTGATTGAGCCTGTTCAGATGACATTCGAGAATCTTTAACATTGTTCTGTTTATAATGATCGTAAGTGTAAACATCATTCGATTCCAAATTTCTTAGAACGTCTTCTACTTGTTTGTAGTTCATATTCTTTTTTTCAATCTCATTATCTTGAGGCACATTGAATCTGAAATTAAAGGGGGGAAATAGACAATACTTTATATAGGGTGTTCTGTTAAAATCACCCTTAATATATATATTTTCAGAATTTTTATCAGGAACGTAGTAAAAAACGAAAATATTAGTGTCGTATTTTATTGATAAAGGGAAAGAATAGCAGAAACACTATCGAAATTTAACAAATCACTACTGAGTAAGGCAGAACTAAAAACAAAAAAATTCACTTTATTGGCGGATTAAACACAGAGCAATTGAAAGTCTATTGCTATAAGCACTTCCCAGTTTTTCTTGGCGATCGAACAGGTTTCGATAGTTTCAATACTGATTTCCTCGGTAGTGTTTCTTAAGATTTCAATGGGATTTTTCGTTTTTTCTCTACTTTACTATTAATTTGTGAACCCTAAGGTGCGTACTTTTTTATTTAATTTTTGACAAAGATTCTAAAAATATATATTAAGAGCTTTTCAAATCTTAAGCAAGCACTCTAAAAGGACGCTATATCAGGGGATAAACTTTTAGATCAAATTATGTTTCACACACATAACTAATTTAAAAATGATGACTATTTTATTACAATAATGGTTCCTAAATTTGTTTGCATTTTGATAGCTAGCAAATTTTTTTATCCTGCAATTGTAACTTCATGGATATCTCTAGGTTTGCCTGAACTCACTTTTTCTAGACTTTAAATTTTAAATTGTTTATAAAGAAAGAGAATTTACTATGAAGGAATTCTCTCGTGGTATAGCATCCTCTTAAGAGGAAGCCATATCAAGAAAAAATATTTCGGCGCAACTTTAATGTTAACTTTTTTTTTAAATATGCAGAAAGTGAAATTATCCTTAAGATGGCTCAAACTGTCGACAGTATTTGTTACTCGTTGAATTCTTCTCAAATATCCGGAAGATTTTAATTTTTAAATAGGTATTTGTTGAATTGTAATAAAAAAAAACTATTATAACAATATATATATATGCATGAAAAGCTTTTCCCATGGTATAGCGTCCGCATTTTTTAATACGTGTTTCACAAAAAATGTACATGTTAACTGGTTTTTATAAAATTTTCAAATCGTATACTCATTAATGAAAAGAAAAAAGTTGCAAAACACACTACTGTAAACAGATAATTTATTAATGATTTCCTAATCCAATTTAGATTTTTTGAAATTTTTTTTATTTAAAGATCAATCCCATAAAACGTTCGAGCAGACTTGCTTGAAACATTTCAATAATCTTCGATTCTTTTATCTAGTAGAGTTCTTTAACTGGCTTTAAAGACACAAGAGCAACTTGGTTTCCTAAAAACGGATTAACAGTTCTAGGAAAAGTTTGACTGTAGATCGCGTCATTGAAAGGTACCGGCAGAGGTGTTCCACCACAATTTGCTTGTCTTACAAGAGCATCGTTGTCACCAACATGATAGGCCATGAAAGANAGAGAGAGAGAGAGAGAGAGAGAGATAACTTTGACTTGATCAAGGGGGGCAAGTCACAACACATAGGTTATTTAAGTTGCACACTTACGCTGCTTTAATTGTGAATGTTTCAGGTAGAAAAGAACATTGAACCAGGAATCTTCTGGAGTTATGAGTTACCACAGAACTGCTCTCATGAACCACTACAACAGTATCTATTCTGGAATCATTCTAAAAATGTATAAGAAAAATAGGTAAGTATTTTCAATAACAAAATTAAAGGAAAATGTGTAAATTAGTTTATCCCCCCAATGTTTTGTCAATAACACCTAATTATTCAGAATTTATCCAGATTTTTAAACAAAGATTTAAGTGTGTATTTCAATATTTTTCCATTTTATTTCGCTTGTAATGGGTGAAAAGTTAAACTTATTAAATTTTATATTTTTAAGTGTTACTCTTCTTTTTCACAATTTCCAAAAAGGAAATTCATAAATTAAAAAAATATTGAGTAAAAAAAGTAGAGTCTTAACCCTTTATAAAGGCATGGGAAGCTATTTTGCTACATATGATTTCCAGTAGCAGAAACCTATTTTGCTACCTCCAGCATGTCATCGGTTGTTGTAGATTATTTTTTCTCCACTTTTACTTTCAAAAAGCAGCAAAAAAAATGGTATTAAATTGCTAAGACCCCTTTTTAAAACCATTCTAAACTTGTTTCTAATAAAAATTAAAAAGCAGAATGGAGAACACCAGAAAAAATAAAGTTTTTTTTAAATGCCAAGTGATTGTATAAAATTCAAATTAAATTCAAAAACATGAAGTTCTTATGTATAATTTTTACGGATCTTGCTACATGTATGTTATATTAAGCTGATTTTTTACAGTAATAATCTCTGTCCGACTGCATTGAAGGCGCAGAGAAATTTTTGATTTATGTAGATAGTGCTGCTGATCCACCCCGTAAATTTTGCTACCTCGCTTATGATGTGTGTGGTCATCTGCTGATAACTTAAGAAACAAATTATCAAAGATGGGTTTTGTTTACATAAATGTGGGTAAGAGTAAAGGTGGGCGTGGTGTCGAGAAGAGAGGCCAACAACGGATAGCTATTTTCTTTTGTGTGTTAAGTGTGCGCTCATTTGATCGTTTCTCATCGAGTTGATTTATAGCTACAAGTACAGAATTTATGAATTCAGTTATTTGTAAGCACAGAAGTTCAAGTTTATGGTAAATTTTTTACTGGCAAAATGATGTAAATACCATCCACCTTCTCCCATAAAAAATGATCTTAAAAATCAAAAAAATTTTGGGTAAGAAGTTAACTAAATTTCTTTTTTAATTTTTTAGAAATAGAATTAAATCTCAAAAATATTTTAACGTAACACAACGAGAAGCAAATGGCCCTATAAAGGGTACTATACTTCAAAATCATCAAGATATTTTCTCCGACATTAAAGATAAAAGATAAAAATGAGTATGCTCACAATCGTTTTACTTCCGCAGAGTTGATGGTTTATTTTCAATGTATAAATGTCTTGGTTACTACTCCTGTTTCCATAGATACAGCATCTCTCATCAGCGGAGCCTTCCACCGTTATTTTACCACCAAAGTATGGCCCCGTGTGGACAACAATGTCTGAAGAATTCGATAGGCAATTGGTTGCATAGGCGGAAACTGAAAAAAACCATGAAAGATGAACCACAAATTAATTAATACAGCATACATCGTTATGAACGGAGTACGTCCAGTTACATAGTCTAGTGCAAATGCGCCAAGTCAGGGGATTTCTCTACCTGTAAACTAGACAGAAAGCGTTTAGAACGGAGTATGTCTGGTCATAGCTTATAAAGAATGATAGATGATGCTGAAAAATTATTTTCTTTGAAAGAGGAAATACATTTGGTTTGTTTTTTAAAAGAAGGTGCAACACTGAATCGGCAAAATATAATGGAGAGATTTTGCATAGAGTTTGTCATGCAAAATCATACAATATTTTCTACCTTTACAGCAATTCGGTTATTTATTGGAAAATTTTCGTTTATGCGCTGCTTAGTTTAAATAGCTTTAATGTTACAGTCAACAGCAGTGCATTCTCTATACGCTCAACTCGATGTAGATGTAAGTTCTTCGAAATTTACAAAGAAATATTTCTTAACTTTTTATTAAAATGTCATTTTACTTCATCTTGAAACTTCCTCCTAGAAAAAAATTTAGATAAAATAGATACAAAAATGCATTAAAAAAATGGATATGAATGTTAAACAAAAGCGTTTCAAAATTGTTTCTTTCACCCAATATCTATATCGAAATCGAAATAGATGACTTAATCAACCTTTGTTGACACACGAATTAAAGTTGTTTGTGGTTATACGGTATTTATCTTATCATTCTGGTGGTAGTATAATTGAATACCGATATAAACATTAATTCATACAAGATAGATCAAATAAGATGTCTATTACAGAGGCTGAACTATACCACTTTGAGTAGATTAAATCAATCAATTACCGAAACTTTGTGGTTGTGAATGGCAAACAGTTGTTTGCGCAATTACCATTGGATAATTCCTATTCCCATTCCAATAACAGCATGTTCCTATTAATTGCTATTTGATTAACCAATAGGAACCTGCCGTACATTAACTAAATGATATTATCGTATTTTCTAAGAGTTACACAATGAAATAAAAGCTGATTTTAACAACCTATTTTCATCCTAAAACTAACATTTATTTCATTTCAAATTTCAATTAATATTTTGTCATTCTGGTGGTAGAATAATTGAATACCGAAATAAACGTTGATTCATAAAATATTGATTAAATGAGATGTCTATGCTAGAGGCTGAACTATATCACTTTGAGTAGAACAAATCAATGAATTACCGTAATTTTGTGGTTGTGAATGGCAACCTGCTGCTTACGCCATTCCTATTAGATAATTCATATTCCCCTTCCAATAAAAACATATTCCTGTTAATTGCTATTTGATTATCCAATAGGAACATGCCGTACATAACTAAATAATATTATCGTTACAAACATGTTAAGTGTATAACTTAAACCAGAGAAAGAAGAATATCACTCAATTTTTAAAATATTCTTCAAAGTTATAGTTTTAAAGAAAAGAAGATCTGACCATAGTATCTTCTCTCAATTACTACTAAACATAGATCAATAACAACTTACATCCTTGTGTCCTAACTAATATTTTATCCGCTTGTTGCAGTTTGGCTCGTCTTCCATTTGCTGTTAATGGAACAACTTTGTTTTGGTTATCCATTGGTTGAACAGATAAAGTATAGTTAGCCAGCATTCGAAGTCCATAGATGGTTCCTTGAAACTGGCCATTACCATCTGACGTTACCGAATCGTAGCCATTCAGAGCATTTCTTTTACCGAGCAAGAGATGGCGCTCGAAACATTCTCTTTCAGAATTTGACCATAGTGTAATTTCGCAGAGAGTTACAATGAAGCCAATTGGTTCTGATTGAGACAAATATCGCCATTTTAATTTTACTGACCTAAACTGTGTTTCTGATTCTAGGTCTTCTACACCTAAAATTAAAACACAAGGTTTGTTAACAAGATAAAAATATTAAATAAATTAAAATTGACTTTGTTTTAACATTTGTCACTTTGTGATTTTGTTACTATTTTTACATTTTAAAAACAAAGTAACTTTTTTTTCTTTGAGTAGACATTGCTTAAAGTTAAACATATAATCTAAGTTAGATTTCTTCTGGATTCCAAAGTTTGATTTTTTTCTAATTATATTTTATTCATAAAATTTATTAAGTTTTTTTCCTTTATAAAAAAATATCTGGATTAGTCTGCGTAGGGACCGAGGATGTGCGGTATTGGTCCTCGTTAAACTGTTCTACCGTAAAGTGCTCGACTTCACGAGCAGGTCAATGGGCTACAGAAGAGGGGGTGCCATCCTCTCTGCATAGGATCAAAATTGTGATGGCATGTCTTCGGATCATCCTCAGGGATGTTTCCCAGACCGTCGCCAATAGCCTATTGTGCAGCTCTAGTGCGACGTAAATTAACTACAACAACAGTAAGAAATATCTTTTTTCGTACTTATCTTAACGAATTTTTTTCCGTGAGTGAACGCTGCTTAAATAATAGTATGAGTTAGATTTTTTTCTGGATTCTAAATTAGGAATTCTTTTTTAACAGGTCAAGATTTTTGAAATCTACTCTTTATTTCTTATTTATTTTAATTGACATTAAGTTTTTAACTTTGTTAGAAATGTCTGCTTTGGAATTTCTTAACAAAATAATTCCTTTAATGAGTGAATGCCATTTAACCCCTCGTCGCAGAATTTTTAGTAAAAATATTTTTCATTTTTTCATTATTTTGTGTTAGTTTAAGTAAAAAAAAGTTAAAAATAATCAGCATTTTAATAATTTATGGTTATGAAATAGAGCATAAAACACCGGTGTCTTTTTTCTGCGTTAAAGGTAAAATCTTCCGAAGAATAATTTTTCAAATTTTCACTTCTTTGCAGTTATTTATAGATTTAAGAGAAACATTAATTCATCATTCAAAGTTCCTTAACTTACAAAATCAAATATTAATAAATTTTTGAAAATGAATGAAAAACAATTACAATCTACTTTTTTTGGATTTTATATTTTCTTACATATGTAATTCCGATAATCTAACAGATTTTTCAGTACCTATTAGCAGTTATTCATAATTGAAAAATACCAAAAAATATATTTGCTTATTATTAGAGCGTTGGAAAAATATATAAAAAGGATACTATTGTCCCTTTCATATATTTTTTTCTGTAATTAAAATGAACATGAAACTAAAATGAAAATTAATTAATGAAATTAAAATTAATACTGCAACAGTTGTTAAAAATTCAATCTATTTTTTTTCTTATTACATTATTTAAGTTGGATTTCGGAAATAAAAAAAATTATTATACTAACCATTTTTTTTAAAAAACAGACATAGCTCTAAAATAATTAAAAATTTACTGTTTTCATAAGAAATAAGTATTTAGGCTCATCAATACAAAAGCCTGCAGAAACTTACCATTATAAAACGTGTCTGTGCTTCGCTGACTATTACAATAAGTTACTAAAATTAAACAAATAAAGAGCTTGCACAGCCCAGCAATTTCCATGGATGACCTGGAAAAAATAAAATGATAGTGTAAATTTTTTGCAATAATATACAACTTAGTCATAATTTGAATATAAAGGGTGTTCTGTAATGCTCGCCTATAATATATATCTTTATAATCTTTGGAAAAAAAATGAATTCAAAAAAGTATACACTTCAGGAGATAAATATTTAAGCAAAGAAAAGACAAAAGTCTATCAAAATCTAACGATCACTAAGGAAGTAAGGGAAACTGAAAACAATAAACTGGCTTGACTTCTACAGAAAACAAAAAGAAGTTAAAAGGTGATTATTAAAAAAAATTGAGAATAATTAGAATAATATGCACATTAATTGCCGCATATTAATATTTAAGCAAAGAAAAAACAAAAACACAATCAAAATCCGTGGAAAATCCATGGAATGCATAATATAATAATCAATTAAATCTGCGAATTACTATTGAGGTAATTAGGATGAAAAACATCAAGCCTGTTTTATTCCCGGAGGAAACAGATAATAGTTGAGAAACAATTATTACAAACGCCTTCAAATGTTTTTAGACAATTGTTTTATATTCAATTAATAAAAATAATTTATTTTATATTCAATTTAAATTAGTTTGAAGCTATAAAGATGAATGCCTCTTTTTAAACATAAATGCATATCACGTCCTAAATTTTACAAGTCAATTAAAGTGAAAGCTTATAACAAAGTGTTAAAATTACTGCACAATATGTACAATATCAAACTTATATTTAATCATTTAACTCCTATTTAGCCATGCTTCATTCGCTCGTTAGATACTTCTGTATTTCAGACTAGCTTTGTATATATGCTGATACTTTTTTTCTCTTTCTAAATGAAGTTTTAAAAGTACACAGCAGGCATACTCGGTGAAACCTTTGATCATAAACTCATAATATATTCATGCTAACAAAACTCGGAAAATGAATAAAAACCAAAGGAAAACATAAGAAAATGAAAGAACAAAAAAACACGTATCGGGTCAATGTTTATTGACAAAACGGATACCACTAACCACGTTAATTATGAAGCATCATTAAAACTAAAATATGACTCTAAATCATTATCAAACCTGAGCCGGATAAGTATAATTAAAACATAAATATAAAACAGTTCATTTGCTAATATGAACTATTCGCTGTTAAACTTTTTTTCCTCCCAACTTATAGTTCAGTTAGATCAGTTTTTCATTGTCCAAGCGCGAAATGATATCTCACTCAGAAACTTATAAACAAGAAAGTTCCTTCATTTATATTTAAGACTGCTCACTCGCTTGATATTTCAGTTCTTTATTGGCAACGTGAAAAGGAAATAATGACTTTTTTCGTCGATGTGTAGGAGTTATATATGTATTGATAGTATCGTAAAAAGCTGAATCATTATAAGCTCTTTTCTTATATGAATATATTAGTATGTTTTTATTTTAAAAATAACCACTATATTTAAATTTTAATAAATTTTTTACTTCCTCATTAATGTATAAAATTTGGAAATGATGCGTAAGTGAGGGATAAATGAATGATGCCAGATCAATAATTATTCGAATAAATGTCTCAACTGCTTAAAATATATTTTGTTTTTTAACCCAGTGTTAACAATTGGTAGTTATATTTTTCTCTTGCTATTGTTTTAGATTGCATGAACCTGAAATAACTTTTTTTTGATAAAAATGACACAATAAAAAAAAACCCAAAACATGTTTTTAACATCAATATATTTTTGCGTATCTGTCCTATGTTTATTTAAAACTATTTTAAAGCCACTTTCCAACCAAGGTGGTTTTGCTTAAATGAAATTATTACTATTCAAAACCCTTCTTTAAAATTTGTAATAAGCTTAACGATTTTAATTTACAGCTTTGTCAGTTGTTTTTAATGCCCTTCAATAGAGATCAATTTCGCTTTCACTGTGGAATGGACATTCACTTCTTTTTATGATGATGTCCAACTTTATTCCGGAGAAAGGCTATGGACCTTGCATTCCATTTTTCGAAAAGACAGCAACTAACAGACCAGAACTGATGATCCCATCCTTGCGATGATCCATTCGACAGTATCCGGTCAGGTATACAATAGCTTCCGCTATATTTTCAAAATTGAGAATGAACTTCGAATTTTGTGATTTAAATTACTTAAACTATGGTAAAAGTAAAATAGTTTATTTTACAATTTAGTCAGAGCATTTACAATTCGATATTTGTCTATCACTTATTATAAATGGTTGTATCAATTATTTGTAGTTAACTGTGTGATAATATTAGTATTATTTATCAAATTTATCACTATAATGACCGTATGAAATAATTCTAAAATAAAATAAATTAACACTGTTGTGAGAATATTTACATTTTGATCATCTTCTCATGAATTACTAAAATGGTTTGTTTGTTAACATTTTCAGAGAGAGTGAGATCATATTAATCTAATTTATCAAATTAATCACTAAACAAATAAAGGGAAAATAAATTAATTTTACATAGTGGCGTTAGAGTCATAAAAAAAAAACGCTAATTTAAGCAATAACAAAGTGCAGTACAAAGAAAAATTGCAATTTGAAAAAGCAGACGACATTTTTGGAACTCTTCATTAGTTATTTAAAAAAACTAAAGGAAGGAATTAAGTGTAGATATCCTGTTACAGAAGGGTTTTCAAATTGATGAGGTTGATATTAAGCTAAGAGAGAATTCAGAGCTTTTGATAGAAAGACATTTTAGCACACATAAACAAAAAGAGTTCCCCGCTTGCAAATATTTGTTTTAATTAATATCGTTTGATATGCTGAAAGGGATTCTTATTTTTTTTATTTAATATAATTTATTCTATAAATTTTTATTAATTTACTTTAAGTGGAGTTTTGATTCGTCTACTACACAGTGGTAAGAAAATTTGCTTGTTTTTCACACTCTTCTCATCACTAAAATGATTCTTTCTAGCAATTGTGCTAAATATTTTCAAAGACACTGGAATCATATTAGGCCTACTAATCATATTTTTACAGATTTTAAGGAATAAAAATTGAAATCCGTCAGAAATGGCATGTTTGTTCTGAAAAAGTAATTTTTTGTTTTTCATTTTGTAACTTAAAATATCGTATATTTAAATTAATTAGCATATTTAAGATAAAGTCTCTTGAATCATTAAGATTGCACCTTAGTACGTGGGGATCCAGTCATTAGATCAAAAGTTATTAAGGTATTTTTTTTTTAATTTTGCCGGTTTATAAGCATATAAAATAGTTGAAGTTAAAATAAATTAGTTTTAGATCGTGGAGACAGCATTTATAGTCTATTATACATAGTTTTCTCACTCACTGAAAAGGATTCTCCCAAGTATTTGCGGTTAACTTTTTCAAAGGGAGAGAGACTTTAATAGATCCAATTTATACATTAATACCACTAAAATGTAAGTACAAAATAAACTAACAGTAAAATAAATTAATTTTATATTTGGTGATTATATATTTTTTCGTATTTCAATACCATCACACTAAAATTATTGATTAATATTTCAGAGACAGAGGGACCAAATCCATAAAACTGCTTATTTCGAAGTATTCAAATTCCATTATCAATCCTCTTTTTTAAATAACTTAGAGTTGAAGTGTATTTCGATTTATAATACATTTATGGTAGTTCAAATTACTAAGGCATTTCTTGAATAAAATATCCTGTCCATCAAATTATTAAATGGTTAAGTATATTAAAATATGTTGTCAAAATTTAAATCTATACACAAATTTATATATTTGTAAAAAATTTCTTGTATATTGTTGATAAATTTTTTTTCTTTTAATTATCAGCATGTGCATGGTATCTATTTGTTTTGAGCACATGATTGCTATTTTAAATGCATATTTTGAAAAGCTAAAGATTGTTATGCTGTGAAATATTTTGTAGCGCTATCGGACATAGCATATAACTAAGTTATGTATAGCAAGGAAAATTTCCAACAGAGTTTTACAGTCTCTTATTAGAAAAATTTCCTATGTTAAAATTAAATAATATTTTTTTTTCTTACTCAGTACATTCAACAGGGTATTAAAGAGGGGAAACATATCTAAAACAATAAAATATAGGGTATCATTTTCGAAAGACGTGATGGTAATTTTCGATGGTAATAAAAACTTATTACGTATATTCGCAAGTAATGCACTCTACGTTTTTTGTTCAAGGTGTGACAAAAAGGGAATTAATTTATTCTTTTTAGCCCATTTGAAAAATGCAACTTTCATTTCATTATTCGCTTCTTTCTAGTTTTGTGTCTGTTAGTTTGTTTGTATCAGGAAGAAGTTGAATTTTAGACTGGCAATATAATGGAAATAAATTTTGTTTGCAGCATTTTGAAAAAAAATATTTCTTAAACTTAAGCATTCTATCTAGTTGTTCAAGTCTAGTTGTTTACAGTCGATAAATAATAGGCAATAATATCGCGATAAGTTTTTATTGTAGTGATCAGTAAACGATTGAACCTTACATTGTCATCAACAGCATAGCTGCTTAAATATCTCTTAGAACTTTGATTACAAGATTCCTCTCTACTGACACGAAAGCGAATCAATTCAAATGTTGTAAAAATAGGATTTTCAGCAAGTCAGAAATCCAAACTGATAAACCTTGTATTCTATACTTAGTACTAGTAAGGGGAAAAAACTTTTTTATTTACAACAAAATGTTTCTTCCATAAACAATATGAATTTTATTATTATTTTAATTTTTTATAATTCTTGGTTAGTTAAAAATACATAGAACTACAGGGACAAAGATATCTCAATCTCTCTCAAGGGAAATATGAATTCTATTATATTCATAATTTTTCTTCTTCTTATAATTGGTTAGTTAAAAATGTATAGAACTTCTAGCAAAGAGAAATCTTAATCTCCCTCAAGAGAACTTCTGCATTTTATTATATTCATTTTTTAAAAATTCTTGGTTAGTTAAAAATACATAGAACTATTAGCAAAAAGAAATCTCAATGTCTCTCAAAAGAAATGTGAATTTTATTAT